ACAATTTATGACCTTTTATTACGGATCAAATGTCCCTTAAAGGCGACATGTACAGACAGTGCCGAATGTTAATGTTTAGGCCAGACCATGATCTCTTCAGCTCATATTGCACTCCTCTTTATACCGCCCCCTGGTGGACCAGGTTTAAAAGTCAAGCTTACATTTGCTGATAATGACTCCATGATGATACTAAAAAAGTGTAAGTGAACTACTTTATAATGCAGGAGTTAACACTTTCCAGGCTCTTGTGAAAAACTTGATGTAGCATACAGATGTATTATTATTATTATTATTATTATTGTTCTGCTGCTGACAAATCCCAGTCATAGTTCTGTGCGATACCAGTCATCCCTGTTGAGACACTGGTGCAGCTGTCTTTTATTTTAATGGTGGTGTTTTGTCAGCTTGTTCAATATATGATGATGATGATGATGATGATTACAAATGGTTTTTTTTTGTCCAAGCCCCCTTCCCCCTAAAAAAAGGAAAACAGTAGGTTAAAGGCCGATCAATAAGATATGAACTATGGTGAGAAAGTTGATCAGTCTCAGCATGTTGGCTCGAAACGTCACTTAATAAATCCTCCAAACGGGAGATTCTTGGTGTGCGGATCTTGTTTTACCTTCCTCACCTATTCCTTTTTTTTTTGATCCAGCCCCCTCTGAAGCATGTGCGTGTCTTTTTTTTCTTTCATTAAAATGAAAGTCAGACATACAGTAACAGTGTATTCAGCAGTAGAGGATTTTATTTCTATAACTCTCCTGTAATTAAAGAATCCTCTTACACGTTTTCCGTTTGACCACTAGGGGGCAGCAGGATTATTTTCTCTTGCTGATTCTTTGGGAAAACACTCTTGTAATATTGTGATTAATAAGGATACAATTATATTAGTAAGACAAAGGAATGTGTGCTTCTTTAAAATGGAACATTTTTGACTGAATGTGTAGATTGCACCGTGTTTGTCTTCAAGTGTGACAGCACTAAATCCATCTTATTTTCAGCTACGTGGTCAACTTTTCTTCACCTTTCAGTGAGTCATTCACAGACCTTAACAAACTATGTTGTGTTTGTGTTTCGTTATGAGCCAATGACCTTGTGTTTACCTAACCTCCTCTCTCATTAGGCTACTTTCAGCCCAAACTGGTTTTTATCATTTTATCATTTAATGTGAAACAGAAAAAGTGATGAGTGTGAGTTTTTATTTATTTTTTAATTTTCTTTAATCTCACACACACACACACACACACACACACACACACACACACACACACACACACACACACACACACAGCATGTACAACCTGACCTAAGGGATGCCCTGGCTCACACTGTGTACCCTTCAGCACTGCCCTCCTTCTTTAACTACCACATCTGATTCTGGTGAAAACAAACAAACATACTTCTGATAATCTCAGAGATTTGCTTTGATCCAAGTCAGCTGCCCTGCCTCAATTTCTTCCTCTTCACCATTGAACCCTTTTAACCTTTCAGTGCAATACATGATGTTTTAAACATTATTTATTCCATGAAAAAGTTCCCAGTTGTAATCAAACAGAAGTCCTGTTTCTCCCTGAAACACCTTTTGTCTCTCCTTGAGGTTTGTTGGTTCCATTATCTGCTTTGCTAAATGTTTGCAAACTATTTTGAAATCCGCATTGTTCCTAGCTTTCTCACTGCTCCCTGTTTCACTGATTTATTGTAGAATATCTTCACGCGTTGAACACCTGTTGAAAGGTCAGACTGGGACAAAAAATTCATGCCAGGAATTGAACATCTGCAAAGGTAAATGTCAAAGCGGCCACAACATACCTTGTACAATGAAGCAGCTTTTTCCTGATTTTCCTATCAGAAGTCTTTGGTAGAAATAGTTCATATTAATATAGTGTTTTATTTTGAACAACACAAAGACCTCTCATGACTCTGTGGCACAGTGATCTCGTTGAGTCGACTTCTTTGTGGGTCTGCTGTGGTCTAGATCTGGATTTGGATTTCTTGCCGTTGCAGGTAAATACTCTCAGAGAGTTTCCGTTCCCACTGAGTGGACACAGTGAGCCTGTGTTATTTTCAGGGAGGGTGGGGTGGGAAGGCTGCTTTCTCTTTCTGACTTCAGGTGCCAGGCAACCTCTCTGCCCTTCACATTCCCCAGTATCGGTCATGTGACCAAAGTTTGGCCAGAGCCAGCAGAGCATGACCGCAGAGACTCACAGAATGCAATTTTTTCTTCTTCTTTACAACCAGCAGGTTTAACTTTTTAATGATATTCAGTTTCATCACAACCTCGGGGTCTTTTACTTCACCAGGCTGAGTTTGTTTGATGGTTTAGTTGGTTGTTATTTATTGATGACTCCTCACACTCACACTTTGAATATTTAAAATTAAAATTTACTTGACACTTTACCATTAAGAACATAAACTCTGTTGGTGGTGGTGTCTGAGATTTCTATCTGTGTAAGAATCAATCATTAGCTTAGCAGTGACTAAACCTGCCTGAGGCTCTGAGGGAAGTGACTGGAACAGCACACAGGAAGCTCTGAGGTCATGATGCTCTGTCACACCTCACAGGAAAGAGCTGCCTTCATTTTCTTTATCTTGTAGTTTTTGTCAAGTCATGATTTGGTTAGCATCACTCTGAAGTCCTAATCAGGTTTGTTAACCGTACAGAGTTATTTGTAATTCAGTGAAGAATTAATGGAAATCTACATTTTAAAAACAAAGAGGCTGAAAAACCATCATAAACATCATACAGCTGGAGTGAGTCATATGTATTACACAAAAACAGTAGAGATGGTAAAATAAAGGGTTTGGATGTGTTTTATTTTAATCAACATATAACCTGTATTTCAGGAAAAGTGAGATGGATCTTTTGTTTTGTTTTGTTTTGTAACCTTTGACTGTTACATCCAGAGAACACTGTGACTTCAGCTTCAGCTTCAGGTTACTTTATTTGTGTCTGTAGGTAGATTTGTTTTGCAATGGGGCTAAAAACTACTCAAACTAAGGCAAATAAAACACACAATACACCTTACCAAAGTCAAAACCAATGGATTCATGAACATACAAACGAAATGATTTAAACAAACATCAACTCAAAAACTAATTCTGAAAGACAACAAACAATCCCTGACTGAGAGGCGCAGCAGCAGTCTCAACTCAAAAAGCCTCTCTCCTCCTGAAGCCAGCGCTGGTCTTTTAAGCTCTTCACCTGTTGGGCTGGAGACAACAGAAAGGAGCAGGACAAACATACAGCCGTAACACTGAACATTACTGAATTAAATCGTGCATATTTGTGTCCATTTTTAGTTGTAGGATTTGTTTGATTTATTTTAAAATACATTTATTTTGTAACTATTGTTATAATTTTTGTAGCATCATTTTTGTTTATCAATATCACATTTTTTGGACCAAATATTGAATTAATTGTATATTTATTGTTTTCATATGTCTGTTTGTGAGTAGGCTGCTGTTCGGTACATTTTAGGGTTCATGTCTTTGGGAGCTGCTGTAGCACCCTGGTCTCTAATCAGCCTTCTTGTATCAGTGAGCCGTCACTCTGAGTTTGTTTGACTGAAGTCACAGAAGAAGAGCTTTGCCCGAAACGTCTGCAGCATTAAAAAAAAAAAAAAAGTGGACATTTATGATTTTGCGGTGCTTTTTGATATATCAAGACACACAAATTACAAAACAGATTTTACATAAAACAACACATTAAAGAGGGAAACTATTTAATAACTACTAAAACATGATTCAATGAAGGTTCCACCAATCAGAGCATATAGGAGAAAGAAATATCCACTAAGATTAAATAACCTCTTCATTTTACTGAAAATCCCCTGAAACACTCAAACTATAGTTGTGTTTTGTCATGACACATTTTACCACAACAGAGAATAAATTTTTTTAAACAATCAACCAAAGATTACGGTTTCACTAGAAGTTTATTCCTACATCTAAACCTTGTCTTTAAAATTTTTTTTTTTTTTTTTTTACAAGTGGGAGTTCTTTCATGTTGAGATATGTAAATGAGTGTCACATCTTAAATCATATCATATCATCTTAAATGCTTCCTTCTCTTGTCGAACACTCATCAGAATGTAAATGAGCTGCAGTCTCTGAAGTCGTGACCAGATGTCAAGCAGTTCCTTGTTGTTTGTTTGAGACGACATCGATATTAGAGTCAGTGACAAGAGTTGGAAAGTCATTTGATCCGGCTCTGAGGAACCCTTCCCATATTTACTATAAGGTCTTCATTAATGTTTCATGTCGTTGCCCTCATCAGCTGTGACTGCATGTGTTTTTGAAAACTAGGCTGGTCTCTTAGGGGAAACGCCAGCTGATGAATACGGTTTGGTAGATAAGCTGCTGCTGAAATAACTAAAAGCTGCTTTGCTGCACCTCATCATTAAATGTAGCTCACTAGATGCATGTCAAATAGGAAAACGAGACATTGAAGGGAAGCTGCTTGTTGGCTTTTCACTGCAAGAATACGTGCTGCAGCTGCTTCACTGGACAACAAAGAAGAAAAATCCTAATTTTAACAGTTCATAACTGAACAGGAGACATCTGTCTAACAGCCAATCATAATCAAAGTCTGAATAGTTTAAAAAAACCAAAAAAAACAACCCATCCAGGATAGATTTCACTCATGGTTCCTCACACTTCTCACCTCTGCTCGGTAACTGATCCTAAGCCTAATTGTTTGGAGCGTGTGTGGCTAAGTTGTCAGTTGCCGGTAACGTAGCCCTCGGGATTGAATGACAGCGTACTCTTACGAAGGTGCCTGCCTGGAAACACATCTAGACGTCATGTTTTAGTGTACTGACTCACGTGGGAGTGAATAAGCTGTTTCCAAACCTTAACTGAAGGATGGTGTTAAACACATCAGGCACATGTAAAGATCATTTTAGGTTTTTTTAATAAAACAAAATAAGACATTATTAAAAAAAACAAAAGCATTTTTATTTAAAAAAAACACATTTTGAAATACATGAACTGTACTGACATTGTTTATAATACACAGACATGATTGCCATTATGGGTGAACACAGGTGCTTTAGGTGCTGCCAGTGTCGAGCATTCACAAAGCCTCCCGTCCCCACCCTGACCACACCGCACTTAAAAGCTGCACTGAACACAGTTATCATCTCTCATGACTGTTACAGACGATTAATCATACACGTACAACATAACCCTGTTGGTGACCCTTTCACATCCATTTTGTACACAGTGGTGCCTCGTGTGAGGGTGAAACACGGAGCGGGCACAATTATTTTTTGTAAAAAAAAAAAGAAATTCAGTGGTAAACATGAAGGAGCTGAGGCCGCATAAACAAATGTGTGCTTGTAATGACACCAACATGAAGCGTGTTGACCTTAAATCAGCCGGAGCTCTAAGAACAGAAATGTAATTGTTTTTTGGTTTAGAAACATGATTTAGGGAAATTTCCACCCCAGTGTCTGCGGAGTCTATTTTTTTAATTCTCATTCAGAGACGTGAAGCATTAAGGGGTTAAATCAAAGCGATCCTTCATCGCGGAGTCTCCTTGTTCCTGTGAGCTCTTTTCCTCAGTTCACCCTCGGATTGGTGCGGAGAGCTTTTGTCAGATTTGAAAATGTCTTTTTTTTTTTCTTTTTTTTTTTCACTCTTTGACCTTCAGTCACACGTAGTCTTTCCTCTCTAACCCGGGGCCTCCTGCGGACCGCGGGGCAGAGTAAGCCATCCGTGAAGGGTTGTACCTGGTCTCCCGTGGCGGACAGGAGCAGCAGAGGAGTCCACCGCCGAGAATCAGCAGCGCGGCAGCCGCCCAGCCGATGTACAGAGCGGCTCCCAGCTCCCTCCGCTGAGCGTCCGTGAGCAGAGGGTTGTAGAAGTCCCTGATTATGGTGTTGGCCGACCAGGAGACCGGAATGAGCTGCATGACTCCAGACACGATGAAGAAGACCCCGGAGATGATCATCACCTTGGCCTTGGACGCTTCGTCGTCTATACAGTTGGTGCACTTAGCCCCGGCAATGGCGACAAGGACAGCCAAGATGGCGAGCAGGATGGAGATGACGGTGAGGGCGCGGGCAGCTTGGAGGTCCTGCGAGAGGGCGAGCATGGAGTCGTAGACCTTACACTGCATCTGACCCGTGCTCTGGACCACGCAGGTCATCCACAGACCCTCCCAGATGATCTGAGCTGTCACGATGTTGCTGCCGATGAAAGCCGTCACCCGCCACATGGGGAGGGTGCACGCCACGATGGCAATAATCCATCCCAAAATGCACAGGGAGATGCCTATCAGCTCCAGGCCTACAGACATACTGAAGCGTCTTCTTCTTCTTCTTCTTCTTCTTCTTCTACTGCCGAGTTTGTTTCACACCTGAGAGGAGATCGCAGATTAAAGCTGCAAAAGGGGGAAGAGTCAACCTGGAGACCCAGCTGCTAATTTAGATGATTTCAAGCCTTGCTTCCGCGCGTGTGTGTGTGTGTGTGTTCGATGATCTGATGACTGGACTGTACCAGTATCCTTTATATGGCAGAACAAGTGAATGGGAGGAGTTCTTTAAGGAGTTGACATCACCAAAAGGGGAGGAAGGACCTGAACACAGTCTGCTCTCAGCTTACATGTCACAATGGGCCTGGCCACAAAGAGCCTTTTACAGCTGAAAGGACTCAAAGTATTTCATGCACCGTTAGAGAAACACTTCTGAAGTTGATTCAATTGTATTGTGCGATTGAAAATAAGGATTTATGATTAAATGTGAAGTCGTCACTCGAGAAAAGTGACTGTTTGTTATTGCAACTTTATGTTTAAATGTAAGGGGGAGGAGGGACCTCCTGGGCTCAAAGTTAGTTAACAGATGTATTAAAACTAAAGGATTGTTGATATTCTCACTGGGAATATTTCCATTACAAGGGATGTATAGCATTCTTCCAAAAGATATCCCTTTATGAAGTGCTTTGAGAGAGCCGTCTAAAACATGTCTTGGACATGTCAAATCTTGGACCATGAAGTTTATTACACTTACATAACTTTTACCCACCCATGCAATCAGTGATCTGCTGTACCTTGTGAAACGGGCCGATGTCTTACTAAAAAGAAAACACATTTCTTCACTCAGAAGACGTACAGTATGTTGTATTGCTTTGCAGCGATAGTTCCCTCTGAGTGACGAGGGGATCCAAACCAAACATTTTAAACACATCCCTTCACTCTGCATCAATAATTTATGTGTTTTTTTTTTCAATTTATCAAACTATCAAACTGAATAATATTTCAATAAGACTCATTAGCTCTCTCTTTTTTTTTAAATGGTAATGTTAACCCTTGGATCCAATTTGATGCAGTCTCGCCTAAACCGACTCCCCAGGATCTTAACCTAAAGGGGTGGGGGGTGGGGGGGCATCATTAGCCTAGTGCTTAATGCACAAGTCCCATGTACGGAGGCTGTAGTCTACCTAGCGGGCGGCCCAGGTTCAAATCTGACCTGTGTCTCCCTTCCCGCATGTCATTCCCCAATCTCCCTCTTGCAGGTTTCTCTCTAAATAAAGACATTAAAAGCCCCAAAATAAACCTTTTAAACATTTTTTTTTTAAATGGAATCCTTTTCTAAGCATTTATATTTCCAATTATGGTTCTAATAGGCTTTTACTCCATGTTGCAGGCCAAATGATGCTGCTGTGTCCTACCAGCTTTTATGCTGCAATAAGTGGTAATATTAGTTTCCCCAAATTTTCAAGGGGGTTCTTGTAAAAACGAAAGTTCATGCAGAGGCCTCTGTAGAACAGGACATGCGGGGGTCAGGTGTGACTTGAACAACATTATTTTTGTAAATCAGCATAATGATATTTCCATAAAAGTGACTCTTAGATTAATTGATAGGAGTTATTGGAGTGATATTGGCTCAATCTAAAGAGCGTTTGGATGAAGTGAGCTAACCTTGGCTGTATTGATGTAGCTTAGCTTGCTCTGAAGCTTCAGTGTAGTGAAATAGTAGCTCAACACTGATGGCTAATAAATAAAGAATGCCTGACCTTTGCTCCTTAGTCCCGCCTCCTCACCTTTTAAACATCTCTGCATGGTAAAACGTTGCATCCCCAAAGAGACAGCTTTCACACTACAAATAATCATCTTGATTTAAAACAATCACACAAAGGTATCCTGATTTCCAGATAGGGACATTTCTTTGAACTACACAAGAACACAAACACGATCCGTTTTTTTGTGATCACTTCCAACACTTTCTAGTCAAAGTTACGAGGCTTTCACTGGACGACAGGTTTGTGTTTAAACGGCTTTAATGATTCTGTCTGCCTGTCTGCAGAATGCCCTTGAAATTCTTCAGAACAGGGACTGTCTCCTGAGAAATACCCCCCTCCGCCTCCTCCTCCTCCTGCATTCTGTAACCCAGTGTTGACAGACCCCCCCCCCCCCCCAGTCTCCCCCCTCTGACATGAAACAGCTCCATTGTTTGGTGTGCAGCTCAGATAGGTGAGTGTGGGGAAGCTAACATAGTAGCGGTTCTTCTTATCAAAGAGCCAACAGACACATGGGAGACAGCCAGGTGGACAGATGCTGTGATAGAGAAGCCCAGTCGTCAGCCTAATGGCCTGGTATGAGGGATGTATGGAAACAGACTTTTTCTTTGCACCTGTTGCAATGAACATCTTTCTGTTTTTGAACATGTTCAGGTAGAATAACTTAAAAGCTCATTGGAATAAATCCTGTTCTATCCTAAACCATGTTTTAGCCGATGAACATGCTGACATATAAACCTATATTTAGCTTCCTCACATGTTTCAGCCTATCTTCATCACTTGTGATAACATAAAACATCCTAATTGTTAAACATTTAAATAATGAGACACTATAAGTACAAGAAAGGACTTTAATTTACACATTAAAGTAACATTTTAAAAACCGAACGTTCCAGAAAAACAAACAAAACAAATGTAGCATTATGTGGCTTCAAGGAAAAAAAACAGTACAGTCAATACACATAAAAAGTAAAAATGCAGCTTCACCTTTTCTTTAGACGTGGATCACATTACAAAATTATTTCATAAAGTATAAAATTAGGTCTCCCCTTATTCACTTGAATGTAGCGGTCAGTGCTTCCAACAGCCTCAAAGTTAGACACAAAATGTGATCATGAAAGAAAACAGCTTTGAGGACCTGTGAAGAAGAGTCTACCTACACGGTGGTATGAAAAATCAGGGATTCCCCAAAGTCAACATTAAGAGAAATATGCAGTATATAAAACAGTTATTAAAAAAAAAAAAAAAACCTCCCTCCAGTTTGTGTCTCAACTTTTCACCTTAGAAAATGTGTGAGAATAGGAACAGGTGGTGAACTCAAACATAGTCTCTCCTGTCGTAACCACTCGGTGCGATTGACCTGGTGTGAGAGTACACCATCTTTGAAGGTGGCCCGTACCTTTTCTCGGGCTGCTTGGGGCAACTGGAGCAGAGAATCCCCCCTCCGAGGAGCAGGAAGGCGGCGGCGGCCCAGCCCAGGTACAGAGCTGCCCCTATCTCCCGCTTCTGTGCCTCAGGTATGATCGGATTGTAGAACTCCATGATGATAGTGTGGGCGGACCACGACACCGGGATAAGCTGGGTGAAAGACGCCACAATGAAAGCCACCCCGGCAGCTATCATCACTCGGGCCTTGGCCGTGTCTTCCTCCACGCAGTTGGTGCATTTCGCTCCCATCGTGGCCACCAGGAGTCCCACGACGCCCACCACGATGGAGATGATGGTGAGGGCACGGGCGGCCTGGAGATCTCCGCTTAGAGCCAACATGGAGTCGTGGATCTTACACTGCATTTGACCCGTGCTCTGGACCACACAGTTCATCCAGATGCCCTCCCAGGTGATCTGAGCTGTGACGATGTTCATCCCAATGAAGGCCGACACTCTCCACATGGGCAAGGCGCACGACACAATGGCTGAGATCCATCCCAGGATGGCCATAGACACTCCAAGTATCTCCACTCCGGCAGAAGGCATGTCTTCACTTTGTGTTATAGTCAGAGGTCTCCTCCGGCTGTGTGTTGTGTTGGACTCGGTTGATGTCTCTGTGGTGCTGATTGCTCACATAACGGTAAGATATCTTTAGAGCAGAAGGTGGAGTCACTTGGCGATTGGCCCCGGGAAAAGTTCAAATCATCTTCTGTCCCACCTCGTTTGAGCGTCCAAACACCCAGCCTTGGCATGTAAACGGCCCCCCGCTTAATCATTCAACCTCTTCTCCCCCTTAGCACTCCCGTCTGTTTGGGTGAGGGGAGGTGTGTATCTCAGGTCTGGAGTAGTTAAAGAATAACAGACATGGTAAAAGTCTGCCAATGAATGATTGAAAGTGGAAAGCACTATATCCTCTCCTTCAGGTTTCTCACTGTTGGCCTCCTACTGTTTTCAAAATATCAATCAGAAATATTCCATCATTTGATGGTTTTCAAGACAACAAGTTGCGCAAGTTGACTCTAAATAAGTTTGAGGTATGATTGAACCTTCTTTGTATGAAATAAATGATGCTAAAGAAAGGTATAGGATGCACATTATATAGGCTAGGAGATGGTATTACAGCGTTTTAAGGGGTTGGGATTTTTCTTTGAAAATCAGTTGTGCAATAATTTTCACATAATTGATAAAAACCAAGTGAACATTGCTATTTAGATATCATCTTATAGTCAGAAACATTATTTTACTGCTTGTTTGTATGAAATATCAAGTACAGTATATCACTTCCCTTAACAAGCCTGCCACAAAAAGACTAATACTAGGACCCTTCTTTGGAAATTCAATACAAACTGGATTAGGGATGCTACCTTGTTGGGAAATACATCTCCGATAACATAACTGGTTAAAGAGAAATTCATTGGAACAGCTTTCTGAGAGATAAGGACAATAATAATTCTAGTTAAAATGCTCCATTTACCGGACTTCAAATCACAAGATGATGAAGTATGTAGGGGTGTTGGCTGTTGTTTGCTAAAAATGCCTTTTCCAGCCGAGATATGTCCATGAGAAGTTAATAACGGAGACCACATGTTGGGAATGGGTGTGCAAACAACCCATTCCCCTCTGAAGGTTTAGTTTTCTGTATCTGGGGGGCACAGAGCAAGATAATAAAAAATAGTTACAAAATGTAACTCTATGAGGTCATGATTCCAGGGAACAGTCTCACAAAGAGAGATTTGGTCAGTGTGTGTGTTTGAAGCTGGAACTATTGTCTGCATGTGTGTACACAGGGCTGGGGGTCTTATCAGTGTCCTTGCCCCTGAAGGTCACAATGCATCAGGAGTTTTAACCTCAGTCTAACTTTTGCACGTGCCACACACAAAAAAAATACACGCTCTCACCTCCAGTAGTCCTATCAGGATTTCTTATTAAAAAAAACTGTGTTTACTTTGTAAACCTGCAAAACTGAAATTTTCGTCAATAGACATGCAGTATGAAATTAATGATGTTATACACCTGTACGTTTTCCACTGTATACCTGCTACAGTATGGTTAAAACATCAGAAACTTTAAAAATAAATATGGATTCCCCCTCCAGGACCTGCTTTTGGTTTTATATTTACACTTTTAAACATGTCAAGAAACTCTTCAAGCATGAAGTCAGACTTTTACTCCAGTGACTCCAACAGGTGGAGAACGGTAAACACCTCAAACCTGATCAATAGGGTCTTTGTGGCTCGGTTACAGTGCAGGTTACATCTCCTTGCAGACAGAGACTATTATCTCTTACTCAGTTTCGCTTGTGCAAATGGAGGACAGGCTACAATGAGCAGGCAGCATAAGGTGCTCTCTGAAACAAGCCAGCCATTGTGTGTATTTTCCTCCACTTACAATGAAACAAAATACCTAATTTCAGCTTGCACCAGTATGGCTCTTATGAGTTGACTCAGCTGAACTCTGCAGATGGCATCTACCCCAGTTCCTGCATACCAAAGAACCTCTGCATGTAAGCTTCAATTTCTGATGTAACCATCTGTTTTTTTTGTTTTTTTTGACTCGGTTGTATGATAGTGCAGGGTTGAAAACTGTACCTTCACTTTTAAGAAAGCTTGAAAAAAGTCATCTTTGAAAAGTTTTTCTTTATTCATTTACAACCTTGTAAAAGCATTGATCACACATGATCAGCATGGACATTATGTGAATGTACTCATATCAGGAAAGATCTTCATATTTTATAGAAAAATGTGAAAATCTTCAAATAAAATGTATTCATGTTTGAAACAGAATCAACAACAAACACTAAATGCTAAAAAACATGTAAAAACAGACATACAACATGCATCAGTGATTCATACTTAATGTCCAAACTGCTGTATGACCCATGACACATCATCTGTTGAGCACAAACTTTGCTAACACTGGTCATGTGTCTTTGTCTGCACCCTCCCGTCACTTGTTCATACATAGTCTCTTCTGGTGTATCCGTTGACTGACACGGTCTTGACCGGTGAATAGTCCACCCGGGGGGGCATAGAGCCATTACTTGCTGCTGTAGGTGTTTTCGTCGGGCAGGAGCAACAGAGCAGGGCTCCGCCTAGGATGAGCAGGCAGGAGGCAGCCCAGCCGAAGTACAGAGCGTTACCAAACTCCCTCTTCCCCGTCTCCTCCAGCAGCGGGTCGTAAAAACCCAGAACGATGGCATGAGCCGTCCAGGAAACGGCCACCAGCAGCAGCAGTCCAGCCACCAGAAAGATCACTCCAGCCGTCACCACCAGCCGGGGTTTGCTGCTCACATCCCGGCTGCAGTTGGTGCACTTTGCGCCGGCCACTGACAGACAAATGCCCACAATACTCAGCACCATGGAGACTATGACCAAAGCACGAGCTGCCTGCAGGTCCACAGGAAGTCCCAGCATGGAGTCGTGCACCTTGCAGTGCATCTGGCCTGTGCTCTGCACCGAGCAGTTCATCCACAAACCCTCCCAGATCACCTGGGAGATGACGATGTTCTGACCGATGTAGGCGGCCACCCGCCACATGGGCAGGCCGCACGCCACCATCACCCCCAGCCACCCGGCCACAGCGAGGATCATACCGAGGATCTCCAAGCCTGCGGAGTACATGGTTCGCAGCTGGGGATGAAGAAAGAGCTGAGAAAGACCCTCTCTTCCAGGGACTCGTCGGGGATAGAAGGCCCTCTGTGTCCGCAGGTTCAACCCTCCTGAGACGGAGGCGATATCGGATCTCGTTGGCTCAAGGTCCCGCTTAAGACTTTTAGTGGGAGAGAAAGAGAGAGGGAGAAACAGATTCTACCTTCTTTATAAAGCTTAGACGTCTGAAGGTGGAGTCAGCTGAAAGTGGCATCATGTTTACCCTCAAACTACACCTGAAAATGGCGAGACGTTCTTAATTTAGCGAACTGCGCTGAAGTAGAACAGGTGCAGCATTGAAAACCATTAAAATCTGAAATCTTTTTATGAGAAGTTTGGTCAAGTCCCTGTCGTGTCTCAGACAACTGTTACAGAGGAAACATTTACATCATACTTCATTATAATGTGATCACATGCAGGTTATAATAAAACACATAAAGATGCGTTTACCTGCATTCTTTTTTTTGTAGGTTTCAGACCTATTTATGTGACGAGTGGCAACTTTGAATAAAAATGCTGAATCACCATCAAAATGAAATTTACATGCATTTAAACGAACAACAATGACAGGCCTTGTTCTTCACTGGTCAGCTACATGATCCTTGCTGGGAGGGAGAAAGAAAAAAGAACCTCGGGAATCAGGTCACATTTTCACATAGTGTGGGCATGTTTAATGTGTTTTTCAAAGAATGGAGGATATATCGTTAAATATTTGCACTGAGATTAGATTAGATTAGATTAGATTCAACTTTATTGTCATTGTGCAGAGTACAAGTACAGAGACAATGAAATGTTTTTGGCGTTCTAACCAAAAAAGTGCGAAAGAGCAACAAGGTGCAGTACAAACATGAATAGGCATAAAGTGCAATATGGTAGTAAGGTAATACGGTAAGCTGGTGCAGAGGATACAGATAAGACTGGTATATTATAGAGCAGCATTGGTGGATATAAGATAGTTACAGTATGAACAATATTTACAGTATGGACATTATAAAAAGTATGCTAATAAATATCAAGTGGAATAGGATACTATATATACAATCAAGTAGTATAGGAAGTGCAGTGATCAATGTAAAGTCAAGTACAAATGTACAGTCAAGAGTATCACTGAGAGTATCGTCGTTGTAGTCTTTCATCTGACATAAGCAGATAACAGTCGTTTGACTCGCCACGGGACACGTTATTGCAAACCATAAATACATACCTGGGACTTAATGCTAGGTCATCTGTGTGACTAATCCCTTCATAAGTGCCCCCTTTGTATGTAATCATTTTTTGTGAATCCTTTGAGGACAAAGAGAACATGAACTTAATCGTCTCTAAGTCTCTAGACAAACCTAAACCTGATATTTCTTGTTTGATTAATATTACAGTTTTATCTTAAACTGGAAATGCTCTTGAGAAAGAAAGAAAAAACGAGTCAACATTTGTTTTTTCTTGTTGAGTAAAAAAATGAATCAAAGAATACCACGACAAGTGGGAACATCTTTTTTTTTTTTTTTTAAATATCTACAATATCTTATTGTTTGAGAGACAAAGGGGCGGTTAAGGTTGGCTGGTGAGCTGTGTCATTACAGGCTTTCCTCTAATCATCAGAGGTCACCTGGGGTCAGTGGTCAGGATGAGTGTCTCTGCTATCTTTGGTTAACCCCCGACAGAGACAAACGTACACACACATACAGACCCTCCCATCCTCCCACACAAACATGGACTCAGACCTTACAGGAGCATCATTGCTTTACTAACATTTTGTTTCATTAAACCTCAGCGAGAAGACTCAACTTTTCTTCTATAATCGCATGTGCACTAAGTTCCAACATCAGGAATGATATCTCTTCTCAGTCCATAACTGGTGTGTTTTTTTTCTAATTTAACTCAAATAACTGTTGTTGTTTTTGGCAATTGAGCGTTAAAGACATTCCAGGTTTTATTGAGAGAAAACATCTGTGCACCTCATCTTGGCTGCCTTGACTTGGTAACATCTGCAGCAGAATGAAACTCACAAAGGTCCACATCGTTTCAGAACATCAAGTTAAGTGTAGAAAAATAAAGATTTCCTGAAATAAACACCTCATGTCCTGTATAACTAAGACAAGAAAAATGGACCTGCAAGTTTAGAGAAACTCTGGTATCAAGGTGAAGAAGGAGACAAAAGGGGAGGTGAAAACATTTCTTTAGGTCAGAAGCATTTTAGTTTCACACTCTGGGATAGACGGCTGAACCGAATACATTCAAGGGAAGGTAACTAATCACAGTCGTTGTACTGTAAGTGTGTGTTCAACAGGCAGGGGGAGCCACTGTAGCTGCTTATTTGTTGATAATGTTTGTCTACTTTTGCAGAAAACGCCCTTCATTATGATGTTTATTGTCTGTTTAGCACCAGGTTATTTCTGATATCTGTTTTTACTGTTTGCACACACAAAGAAACAGACCTCATCAAAGAACTTATCCTGATTTTACTTGACAGACACAGTTTGTTTTCTCAATTGTTGCTTTTCCTTAAACCCAATCTTTCTTTCTTTTTTTCTAATTTAATAATTTCAATTTGTTTCCTTGATTGATACATGACATCAGATTGTGAAAAGTCCTGTTCATAAAGATGATCAGGATTATTTTGTCAACATGCTTTGCTGTTTAAAGGAAGTTTAAAGGGGTTTGATTTTCAAAAGCATTTTAAATGCTTCTTCCTTTTTATCTGTGCTCACCACAACCCCCCCCCCCCACCCCTTCCTCAAATGTTGTTTTCTTCCTTCGTTTTCTCATGGCTTTAACTATCAGCTGACAGCAGTCTCTGTACCAGGAGTCCTCAGTTTTAGGGTGTTCCTTCTTTCAAGTACAAACATTTTTGTGCATTTTGCATGCTCCCTTTTTGTTTCCCTTTTGTGCAGCAGTAGAAAACTTTGTGAAATACCCATTTTAGTGTGAGATGTCTCGACTTTTGCAATAATCTTGTCACTTGAATTTCTGGACTTTTGTTAACACACGCACACCTTATTATTACAAAATCAATCTATCTCACACTAACCTGTTCACACCTGTTTTACATATCTGTGTTTGGATACCTGTGGCTGTAAGCTGTGACTTTACATTTTCTGGTTCTCTTTCAGGGCCCTGACTTGCAACTTTAATATAGCATAGTGAATAAAGTCTTTTCAGAGGACACTAGCTTTTCTCAGTAAAAAAAAAAGAAGATGGAAACAGTGTTGAGTTGTGTTATTAACTTCCCTTGATGATGTTTTTAATCATTACTCTTTATATGAAGAAGAGGCTTTTCATACACATCTAATCTCACTTGAGATTCACATTTCTGCACATACTATGTGTATATTCGTCTGACCACAGTTAGTTTCAGTCATGCTATGTGGTGAGCCATATGTCATTATTTCATGCATATTCAGCTTGTCTCGTTTCCTGGTTACAACAAAGCTGTACAGCAGATCCACAGCAAACATGGTCATTATTCAGGCTGTTCACCACACTCACTGCAGTTGCAGCTCCTCCATTAGACCGTATCCTACATGTAGCAGCGTGCAGAGCACCTTGCTCAACATTCACCTGTCCTGGGAGCGGGAGCCAGTCTGACCGGTTTCCATCATGTTCTGGTGTCTGCTGCAGGTTGTTGTTTCTCCACAGTAGTGAATGTTAATGATGGAAACAATGTATGTGGAAGTAACAGAAGTAATGATATGTTGTTCCTGTTCAAAGCCCCAAAAGCTTTTTCGCTTTCTTTGTAAAAGTGAACACAAATAAGGAACTGAAAATATCCCCAGGACAAAAGGCTTATATCCTCACTTGAAGAAGAGCTCCTGTGAGTTTACATCACCAACACAAAAAAACAAAACAGGACTGAAATAAGAAAACAGACCGAAACATGGCATTATACAATTTGATTTGTAGAGATGTTATATTATTTTGATGCCAAACTATAGATCTTCCATAAAAGATTTAAAAAATATGTTAATCAATTTTGTAGACTTTGCACACTTCCTGTTTCTGTCATGTGATAACGTATCATGTATGAACACACATGACTCACTAAAGGTCCCACAAAGACACTGATTGTGATCAAATTCCCCCTGAAACCCTGACTGTATACCTGCACACTGGCCTCAGGGCTCGCTCTGATGACATCACACTCCCAAAACAAACATTATCCGCACACACAGATACTATGACACATGATACTAGTTTTTTTCTGTGTATTAAAAACAAACAGTGTAACTAACAGTTATTTTTACAACACAAAATATTAACTATTATCTCCCCCCCACCCACTACTATTAAGTACCCCATGCTACTTAAGATACATTATATAGGAACAGAGTCTCATATACTGTATTCTGAAACATATTATGTCAAATTAATCATTATAAAATCTAACATTTGTGACGTTTGTTTCCACTAAATTTCTTTAATTATGACTTTAAAGTCTTTATATGTGATTTTTCACACTTTAATGTAATATAAATCAAGTATATCCTCTGAAAATAACTATGAGTCATGACTGTCTACAATGGGTGTAACACTACCATCCAACAGATGAGCCGTGCAGAAAACTAATTTAAAAATAATATAAATCAAATTGTAAAGCTCCTGTGAGGTGTTTTTAGGTGGTTATGAAACTGACTTCCTCACCTATAGGCCTAAGGCATTTGAGACCATTAGCGTCAAATTGGTTGATTCCTTCATTCAGGGTAGTTGGGTAACGCTACTAACCGTTCTATCGGATTTTAGAAGTGTTGATCTGAAGTCAATAATAATTAAACGGAATAATTAAATGAAGACGTCTGTCAGCACACAGCAGAATGATTTTGCGTTTTGAACTTTGCATAGAAAACATAATGAACCATTAGTTCAGCTGAAGGGTTGGACTCTTTATTTAGAGCCAGAGCGGCCGTTACAGTGAAGTCTGGGCTTGCCTCAGACTGCCTGTTGACACTTGTCACCGTTAGCTCCCTCCGGCATTTTCTCACGAATGTGCAGTTAAGTCTTTCACCTGTTATGCAAAATGTGTAGCAAAGTTTCCCCAGCTTTTCTGACTCTATTAGTTGCGTAAAATGCATCAGTAGCAAACTGACACTACACAATCAATGCCATATTCTGTTACAACACAGACAATTAAACTGGTTACATTAAGCATGACCTCCATATATAAATATAGGATTAAGCATATTAGTGTTACTTAGAATCTGATTCAGTAAACTGAAAGAAGAAGAAGAAGCTGCATGTGTGCATGTGAGTTGTTGTTCAAATGTTAATTGTTCAAAAACAGGTGACTGTGGCCTTCCTGCAGCCTATTCAGGACCTTCACATCAGAACTAATCTCACCTGAAACCATCTCTAAAGTTTGTTGTCCTTGTTTTTGTTTTCTGCTCATTATAAAGAAATCTCTCGGCGATGTCGTTTAGCTGTGTCGTCAGTGCTTCTCTCTTATACTGTGTTAGTAGGTGTGTTTAAATCAATGTGGGATGGGATTTGTACTTAATAATTAGGGCACTGTGTAGTGATCGATTAAAATACCAGAATGGGTTTTGCAGCATGCTTCATTATGCAGTTTTTAGTTGAGATAAGTAATTAAAACGGTCCTTATTCACGACCACTTTAAGGAGTTAAAAGTACGATTTTGTCGATCATTACGGGAGAAGACAAAGATTTGGTTAAACAATAAACCAGAGTCATTCTCAACACAGTAAACTTGTTAAATTCAGTGTTTTACATGTAAATGGGTTGAATGAAAAAAAGTAATGGAGAAAATTATATTTTTTACACGTGTAGACTTTCAGTTTACCTTCAGTTTTGTGAAATTGTGTGCAGAAGTAGTTTGTGTGTTAAAACTTTGTCTCAATCTAAAACTCAAGAAGTTAAAAATGAAAAAAACTTGATTTACTTTTCCCAAAGTGTGAACCTCAAGACTCTAAAAGAAGTATGAAGGCTTGTAGAAACAGAAATATGAAATATGACTTGATTTAAATGAATCTTGTTTTGACATTAGAAACCAAATGTCATGAAACATGTTTTTATATCTTTTATTAAAATTAGCACTGAAGTATTTAGTGCTCCCCTTTAGCCTCTCAGTAAAACCTTAATTTCTTTGCAGACTTCAGTAACTACTTTAAGTTCCTTAACAGCTTTGATGTCGTATTTTAAGACACCGTAAACAAAGACTTAAAAAAGCTTTCAATGGCCGCCAAAATACAACAACTTTGAAGGTGTGGCTGTTTAAAAAAAAAACTCTGCTCAACTGTTCTGCATCCCTGTGAGTCACGGTTTGGTTTTTCCACCTGTAAAGATTACTAGACTGGGACAAAAACTGACATGATGACACATGCCCCCGGCTGGGAGGATGGTAAGCATCACGTCACAGCTTTGTGCGACAGTTTGTGCGAGTGTGTGTCAAGCCCCTCCCGAGTAAAATGTATAAAAGACCAGCTCCAAGCCTGATCAAACATTTACTCTTGGGGATCTCTTAAGCAAGACCTAACTGATCTAGAGAAACAACTTTTGGAACTTTTTTTTTTTCGAACAACAAAAGAAGCTTTGTGAGGAGTCATGGTGTCAGCAGGCTTTCAGATGTTGGGCACTGCCCTGTGCATTATCGGCTGGATTGGGGTCATCGTTATCTGCGCCCTGCCCCAGTGGAAGGTGACAGCTTTCATCGGCAACAACATTGTCACTGCTCAAACCACCTGGAAGGGGATCTGGATGAACTGCGTGGTCCAGAGCACAGGCCAGATGCAATGTAAGGTGTACGACTCCATGCTGGCCCTGAGCTCTGACCTGCAGGCTGCCCGCGCCCTCGTCATCATCGCCATCATGGTCGGCGTCCTGGGCATACTCCTGGCCCTGGCAGGGGGGAAATGCACCAACTGTGTGGAAGATGAGGTCACCAAAGCCAAAATCGGCGTGGCCGCTGGTGTGACCTTCATCATCGCTGGAGTTATGTGCCTCATCCCCGTGTGCTGGACGGCACACACTATCGTCAGGGACTTCTACAACCCACTCGTGAATGGATCTCAGAAAATGGAGATGGGTGCTGCACTCTTTATCGGCTGGGGGGCCTCAGCCCTCCTCATCATGGGCGGTGCACTCCTCTGTGCCAACTGCCCCCCCAAGGATAACTACTCTGCCAAATACTCAGCTGCCCGCTCATCTACACCCAAAGACTACGTCTGAGAAGAGAACAGCCAGATGACGAGGCCAAGAGACTGAAAAAAAGACTTTAATCAAATGCTTTGTTGTCCAGGATTTGTTCATGTAACCACAATAAGTATGATCTGAATTTCACAGGGATTGTATTGTGGTCACAGTTCTGTTTGATGATTTAATGTTCCAGCTCTTAAGGATTTGTTTCATCAGCGCGGAGAAAGAGAGACGTGCACCACAACCAAACAGCTGTTTATGAGGACTGAGTGATAAAACGCATGTGAGAGGGAGTCTAGTATATAAATGTTACAACAACACACAACATGTACATTTGATGAGCTGAATTTGATGTTTTTTTCTTTGTTTTCATACATTTCTGCCCTTAAACATATCATTTCATTTGAATGTATGCATGTCTGCATGTCTGAAACTGTAAATAAAGATTTTTTTTTAATCAATATTGAATGATCACGTTGTGTATGTTCTTATAGATTGATATTGATATTATTATTGAAACAGTTTAACAATCGAAGAGAAAGGAGGTTTCAGGAAGAAGGAGGACGGTGTGCCTCTCCCTCTAACCCCTCTACAAATTTGATTTATATACAAACAATGATACATTGATTTTTACAAAAGTAGCTCAGAGTTTATCCTCATATATTATAAAATACTCCAACATTACTTCCTCTTTTTTAAGAGAACATTTTAAGAGAAAATTTTCTGTTACAATTACAATTAAACTGGTTACATTAAGCATGACCTCCATATATAAATATAGGATTAAGCATATTAGTGTTACTTAGAATCTGATTCGGTAAACTGAAAGAAGAAGAAGAAGAAGCTGCATGTGTGCATGTGAGTTGTTGATCAAATGTTAATTGTTCAAAAACAGGTGACTGTGGCCTTCCTGCAGCCTATTCAGGACCTTCAGATCAGGACTAATCTCACCTGAAACCATCTCTCCTCAGATCCCTAATTGGGGAAATTCCTCTGTGGCTCCTTGTGTGTGGAACCCAATCTCCATGGCCAGGCCGAAGAGGCTTAAATGATCCTGCCTTGGATAAAATAGAGTCATTATAGTCCTAACAGCAGTTTTGGCTCTATAACACTGCCTCTATTCATTTTTGAAACAATCTGATTCTCTCTCTACGTCTCTTAGCCCCCTCTCACTATTCTCTCTTTTTTTCTTTTCTTTTTTTTACAACATTGTCATCTGGTACCACTTGGCATAGTGTGACCATTTCCCCCAACATGTCCCTCCTGCTGTCTTCTCACTGCTGAGGGAAACTATCGATTAGACCGTCAGACTGAGGAGTGCACATCTTTCTCCAAAGACAACCTGCAGCAGGCTTCAGCTCTCCAGCCTTAAAGGACTGACATCCCTGAAAGGTCAGCTTTGATCTCTGTTTTTCTCTCATGCATGCTCTGATACTATACTTCCTTGTGATTGGAGTTTATAAGAAGAAAATGTTTGAAATCATTTGGCATCCTTGTTGAAAGTTTGTTGTCCTTGTTTTTGTTTTCTGCTCCTTATAAAAAAATGTGTTGGGGATGTCGTTTAGCTGTGTCGTCAGTGCTTCTCTCTTATACTGTGTTAGTAGGTGTGTTTAAATCACTTTGAGATGGGATTTGTACTTGATTGTAGCAAACAATAATTCAGGCACTGTGTAGTGATCGATTAAAATACCAGAATGGGTTTTGCAGCATGCTTCATTATGCAGTTTTTAGTTGAGATAAGTAATTAAAACGGTCCTTATTCACGACCACTTTAAGGAGTTAAAAGTACGATTTTGTCGATCATTACGGGAGAAGACAAAGATTTGGTTAAACAATAAACCAGAGTAATTCTCAACACAGTAAACTTTCAGTTCAAAAATTCAGTGTTTTACATGTAAATGGTTGAATGAATAAAGTAATGGAGAAAATTATATTTTTTACACATTGTGAAATTGTGTGCAGAAGTAGTTTGTGTGTTAAAACTTTGTCTCAATCTAAAACTCAAGAAGTTAAAAATGAAAAAAACTTAACAAAAACTTGATTTACTTTTCCCAAAGTGTGAACCTTAAGACTCTAAAAGAAGTATGAAGGCTTGTAGAAACAGAAATATTACTTGATTTAAATGAATCTTGTTTTGACATTAGAGGATAGGGAGCATGTGCTGACCACATTAGAAACCAAATGTCATGTGACCATCAGTCTCAGAAAACTTTTTTTATATCTTTATCTCTTTTATATATTAGCAATGAAGTATTTAGTGCTCCCCTTTAGCCTCTAAGTAAAACCTTTATTTCTTTGCAGACTTCAGTAACTACTTTGAGTTCCTTAAAAGCTTTGATGTCGTATTTTAAGACACCGTAAACAAAGCACGTAACAGAAAATAGGACTAAAAAAAGCTTTCAATGGCTGCCAAAATACCGCAACTTTGAAGGTGTGGCTGTTTAAAAAAAAAAGAAGTCTGCTCAATTGTTCTGCATCCCTGTGAGTCACGATGTGGTTTTTCCACCTGTAAAGATTACTAGGTAACACTTTATATTAAGATGCTCGTAATAAGCATTAATAACAGGTAATAAGTCACTTATAAGACCTTATTAGATTCTTATTAACACAAATAAGACTATATAAGTGTTAATATGGGCATCATTAACACATTTGTTATGTCTTATAAGACACTTATAGGCTCTTATTAGAAACGTACTAACACTTTATATACCGTCATAAACATTAATAAGATGTTTATTAACATTAATAAGACTTCATGAGTGTTAATTAAACTATAAATTAATTCATAATTGGCTTGTAAGATATTAATTAACACAAAGAAACTTGTTTATAGACCACTTATCAACATTCATAAGATGTTTATTGACATTGATAAGACTTTATTAGGTTCATATTAATGCCTTATGAAGGTTAATAAATACTTTATTATGCACTTATTAACAGTTAATAAAGCTCCTCTGCAGGTACTGGATCTAAAGTGGGAACACTACTTACAAAGATTAATAAATATTTTATTATGCACTTATTAACAGCTCAGTGGGAACAGGGTCCAACTTTCAAGTAAACGCAGAAACAAAAAGGAGGTCTGTTGAACTTCCACTCAAACAGTTTTTGAAAAAAAAATGCTACTACAAAGACAAGTATTATCTTTAACGTTAACTGTAAACAATATTATGAAAATATTTGGTGTGTCATAGCTACCAACATATCTGATCAAATTCAGGGAAAAAGCATCTTTGTTTTTAACCCATGTTACTGTAAATAAAGTGTTGAAGGTGGACAAACATCAGAAGACTAGGACTCCTGGAGCCCAAGGTCTGAATACCAGTCAAGAGACGCACACAGAATTACATTTTCAAACTTTGTATCTAAGGAACACAAATATTGCAGGTCAAGATTACAATATATAAAATTTACTAATGCAATTAACAACTAACTTAATAAAGTGTGCACATGAAATAACACAAACATTTGAAGTGTCTAATCCCAGTCTTTTTCGTCGGGTCTCAATCCAGGTGTGTGTTTCTGTTTAATCTGTTCTGCTCTATGAAGTAGCGAAGGACGTTCTTTATTAAAAGAAACAATCTTCTTAATCCCGCTTGAGGTCTCGAAGGTTGGGCTCACTATCCAGTTAGCTGCTCACAGTTCTGGATGAGCCCAAAATCCGCCTTTTACCAAAACACCACCCCTATCAGTGCTTCTCTCTTATACTGTGTTAGTAGGTGTGTTTGAATCACTGTGAGATGGGATTTGTACTTGATTGTAGCAAACAATAATTCAGGCACTGTGTAGTGATCGATTAAAATACCAGAATGGGTTTTGCAGCATGCTTCATTATGCAGTTTTTAGTTGAGATAAGTAATTAAAACGGTCATTATTCACGACCACTTTAAAGAGTTAAAAGTGCGATTTTGTCGATCATTATGGGAGAAGACAAAGATTTGGTTAAACAATAAACCAGAGTCATTCTCAACACAGTAAACTTGTTAAATTCCATGTTTTACATGTAAATGGTTGAATGAATAAAGTAATGGAGAAAATTATATTTTTTACACATGTAGACTTTCAGTTTATAATTTTGTGAAATTGTGTGCAGAAGTAGTTCGTGTGTTAAAACTTTGTCTCAATCTAAAACTCAAGAAGTTAAAAATGAAAAACACTTAACAAAAACTTGATTTACTTTTCCCAAAGTGTGAACCTTAAGACTCTAAAAGAAGTATGAAGGCTTGTAGAAACAGAAATATTACTTGATTTAAATGAATCTTGTTTTGACATTAGAGGATAGAGAGCATGTGCTGACCACATTAGAAACCAAATGTCATGTGACCATCAGTCTCAGAAACCTGTTTTTATATCTTTATCTCTTTTATATATTAGCAATGAAATATTTAGTGCTTCCCTTTAGCTTCTAAGTAAAACCTTTATTTCTTTGCAGACTTCAGTAACTACTTTGAGTTCCTTAAAAGCTTTGATGTCGTATTTTAAGACACCGTAAACAAAGCACGTAACAGAAAATATGTAAAACAGAAAATAGGACTAAAAAAAGCTTTCAATGGCCGCCAAAATACCGCAACTTTGAAGGTGTGGCTGTTTAAAAAAAAAAGAAGTCTGCTCAATTGTTCTGCATCCCTGTGAGTCACGATGTGGTTTTTCCACCTGTAAAGATTACTAGGTAACACTTTATATTAAGATGCTTGTAATAAGCATTAATAACAGGTAATAAGTCACTTATAAGACCTTATTAGATTCTTATTAACACAAATAAGACCATATAAGTGTTAATATGGGCATAATTAACACATTTATTATGTCTTATAAGACACTTATAGGCTCTTATTAGAAACGTACTAACACTTTATATACCGTCATAAACATTAATAAGATGTTTATTAACATTAATAAGACTTCATGAGTGTTAATTAAACTATAAATTAATTAATAATTGGCTTGTAAGATATTAATTAACACAAAGAAACTTGTTTATAGACCACTTATCAACGTTCATAAGATGTTTATTGACATTGATAAGACTTTATTAGGTTCATATTAATGCCTTATGAAGGTTAATAAATACTTTATTATGCACTTATTAACAGTTAATAAAGCTCCTCTGCAGGTACTGGATCTAAAGTGGGAACACTACTTACAAAGATTAATAAATATTTTATTATGCACTTATTAACAGCTCAGTGGGAACAGGGTCCAACTTTCAAGTAAACGCAGAAACAAAAAGGAGGTCTGTTGAACTTCCACTCAAACAGTTTTTGAAAAAAAAATGCTACTACAAAGACAAGTATTATCTTTAACGTTAACTGTAAACAATATTATGAAAATATTTGGTGTGTCATAGCTACCAACATATCTGATCAAATTCAGGGAAAAAGCATCTTTGTTTTTAACCCATGTTACTGTAAATAAAGTGTTGAAGGTGGACAAACATCAGAAGACTAGGACTCCTGGAGCCCAAGGTCTGAATACCAGTCAAGAGACGCACACAGAATTACATTTTCAAACTTTGTATCTAAGGAACACAAATATTGCAGGTCAAGATTACAATATATAAAATTTACTAATGCAATTAACAACTAACTTAATAAAGTGTGCACATGAAATAACACAAACATTTGAAGTGTCTAATCCCAGTCTTTTTCGTCGGGTCTCAATCCAGGTGTGTGTTTCTGTTTAATCTGTTCTGCTCTATGAAGTAGCGAAGGACGTTCTTTATTAAAAGAAACAATCTTCTTAATCCCGCTTGAGGTCTCGAAGGTTGGGCTCACTATCCAGTTAGCTGCTCACAGTTCTGGATGAGCCCAAAATCCGCCTTTTACCAAAACACCACCCCTATAAAGATAAACATACACGTCAGCATCAACACAGGCTTCATCTCAATTTAAGCACTTTGCATTTAACACCAAGTACTGAAACAACATCTGTTTTTATTCACACTTTTCCGTTAACTCTGATGTACTACAAGAAAAGGTTAAAGATTTTCTTCATCAATTTACTGTTGAGCTTTTCATTGATAAGACAATATAGGACACTTTACTGTAATAACTGTACTATGAAACACAAGTATTTATTAACCTTTTTAAGGCATTAATATGAACCTAATAAAGTCTTATCAATGTTAATATACATCTTATGAACGTTGATAAGTGGTCTATAAACAAGTTTCTTTGTGTTAATTAATATCTTACAAGCAATTATAAATTAATTTATAGTTTAATTAACACTCATGAAGTCTTATTAATGTTAATAAACATCTTATTAATGTTTATGACGGTATATAAAGTGTTAGTACATTTCTAATAAGAGCCTATAAGTGTCTTATAAGACAATGAATGTGATAATTACGCCTATAGTAACACTTATATAGTCTTATTTGTGTTAATAAGAATCTAATAAGGTCTTGTAAGTGACTTATGAGTGACCTATTACCTGTTATTAATGCTTATTACGAGCACCTCAATATAAAGTGTTACCGATTACGACTGAGACAAAAACTGACATGATGACACATGCCCCTAGCTGTGAGGGGGCTGTGGTGGGAAGCAGATGTGGTGGCAAGCAGCTCTGTGCAACAGTTTGTGCGAGTGTGAGTCAAGCCCCTTCCGAGTAAAATGTATAAAAGACCAGCTCCAAGCCTGATCAAACATTTACTCTTGGGGATCTCTTAAGCAAGACCTAACTGATCTACAGAAACAACTTTTGGACCTTTTTTTTCGAACAACTGTAAAAAAAAAAAAAAAAAAAAAAAAAAAAAAAGCTTTGTGAGGGGTCATGGTGTCAGCAGGCTGTCAGATGTTGGGCACTGCCCTGTGCATTATCGGCTGGATTGGGGTCATCGGAAAATGCACCAACTGTGTGGAAGATGAGGTCTCCAAAGCCAAAATCGCCGTGGCCGCTGGTGTGACCTTCATCATCGCTGGAGTTATGTGCCTCATCCCCGTGTGCTGGACGGCAAACACCATCGTCAGAGACAACCCATTCTGGATGGCATCTCTGAAAAGGAATATGGGTGCTGCACTCTTTATTGGCTGGGGGGCCTCAGCCCTCCTCTTCCTGGGCGGTGCTGCCCAGGATGAGGCACAGTATATATGAAATGTACCACAGTATATATTCAACTTTCAGCTGAGCTGACCTGCTCCAGAAACTCTACTTCAGATCCAAGAGACTTAAAGAAGACCTCACCATGGTGTCAATGGGAAGACAGATGCTGGGCTATGCCCTGGCCATCGTCGGTTTCCTGGGAACCATCATTGTTTGTGCCTTGCCCATGTGGAAGGTCACAACCTTCATTGGAGCCAACATTGTGACAGCGCAAGCCATCTGGGAAGGCTTGTGGATGAACTGTGTGACGCAGAGCACGGGTCAGATGCAGTGCAAGATCTACGACTCGCTGCTGGCTCTTCCTCAGGACCTCCAGGCGGCCAGGGCTCTAGTGGTCATCGCCATTATCGTATCAGCGTTCGGGGTCATCCTTGGCATCGCAGGAGGAAAGTGCACCAACTTTGTGGAGAACGAACGAGCCAAAGCTAGGGTGGCCATCGCTGCTGGAATAGTCTTCATTTGTGCCGGTGTTCTGATCCTCATCCCTGTCTGCTGGTCTGCCAACACCATCATCAGGGATTTCTACAACCCCCTCCTGACCAACGCTCAGAGGAGAGAGGTGGGGGCTGCACTCTACATCGGCTGGGGCACAGCTGGTCTCCTCATCCTTGGAGGCGCGCTCTTCTGTGCCAACTGCCCCCCCAAGGATAACTACTCTGCCAAATACTCAGCTGCCCGCTCATCTGCACCCAAAGACTACGTCTGAGAAGAGAACAGCCAGATGACGAGGCCAAGAGACTGAAAAAAAGATTTTAATCAAATGCTTTGTTGTCCAGGATTTGTTCATGTAACCACAATAAGTATGATCTGAATTTCACAGGGATTTTATTGTGGTCACAGTTCTGTTTGATGATTTAATGTTACAGCTCTTAAGGATTTGTTTCATCAGTGCGGAGAAAGAGAGATGTACATTTGATGAGCTGAATTTGATGTTTTTTTCTTTGTTTTCATACATTTCTGCCCATAAACATATCATTTCATTTGAATGTATGCATGTCTGCATGTCTGAAACTGTAAATAAAGATTTTTTTTAATCAATATTGAATGATCACGTTGTGTATGTTCTTATAGATTGATATTGATATTATTATTGAAACAGTTTAACAATCGAAGAGAAAGGAGGTTTCAGGAAGAAGGAGGACGGTGTGCCTCTCCCTCTAACCCCTCTACAGATTTGATTTATATACAAACAATGATACATTGATTTTTACAAAAGTAGCTCAGAGTTTATCCTCATATATTATAAAATACTCCAACATTACTTCCTCTTTTTTGAGAGAACATTTTAATCTAAATGTTTCTATTGCTAATTAAATACTGACTTCAGATTACTGGGTAATAAGCCAAGAAGGTTTATTGCCAAGTAGCCTAAAAGTCATCTGAAATCAAACATGATATTCACAGAGTTACTTAAAAATAAATACAATTGGCAACAAAATAATCCGATAGATTATCTAAATTATTAAAAACAAGTCTGGGCTATTATGGGATGCATTTAGATTCTATACTTAGATTTATCTTTTCTGAATTTTGCTGAAGTCTGTGCTTGTCAAACACTGCCCCTTGCTGTACACAGACTAACACTTCCAGGAGTCTCACACAGAGTCGTGTGTAAATATTAGGTACAGCAGTAATCTGTGGATCATTAGTTCTTTTAATGTTCAAATGAGAATCCAAATCGGATCCTTAACATTTTTTTTAGTTTATTTTGTTGTCTGTTTTTGTGTGCGCGCATTTGCCATTTAATGCTCGGATCAAAAATAGGAAAATAAAAAAACGTGCAGCAGCCAAGTTTGATTAAAAAAAATCACAGGTATGCAGGGGAGCTCTGATAAGCATGCAGAGAATTACATGCACCTTGCCACAGCTCATCGTAGTGTGATAAATATGGAACAGCTTAAAAACAATATTAATCCATTTGGTGAGGGTTGATCAGTGTTGAGAATTAAACTACAGTTTATAGTTTATACACCCTCCTTTATCCTTTATCCTCATGTTTTATAGACCCATTAAGAAGCAAGTATGTTTTTTAAGTGGACAAAACGACATAGGAAAACCTAAATTGTCACCATAAGGATGACAATATTTTACATTTTTACAAGAGGTGTGGTGTGGTGTCCAAAGGTTGTGTCTACCAGTGATGTGGAAATACTAAAAATAACACTTACAATACAGAAACATGTATTACAGTCGTCTAAAGTAACTTGAAATCAAACTGAGGTAGCTTGGATCTGTATTGCATAAATTCATGAATTTTTCCCTCCATCAAGGTTTTCGTCCCTTTTTCTTTACATGATAATTAACATCTTAAGGAAGGGCAAACAAACAAATTAGTTATATAAAATGAAAGAATAAAATTAAATTAAAAGAAAGAGAAGAAGAGGAAAAAGTTACTCCTATGTTAAAAGATTCAGGGTTATAATAAATTGAATCGAGCTTTGTTTGTAATTTGGATTCAAACCCCTCTTAAGCCTTAACTTAAGTTGAGAAGAGCAAAAGTGGTTTGGACGTAAACATGTTTATTTTGTTTGTTTCTGACCTTGAAGCTTTGGATTCTTGTAGGTCAGCACTCCTAGAGGTCCCTGGGTCTCTGTTTGTGTGTAAACTCCGTGCAGCCAATGGGAGCTGAGTGTTGTGGTATCACACACCCTCATGTCTGTGTCCTACTTCTCACACAACAGCCTATAAATACAACATCGCCTCTTTCCACTTGTCTCTCTTTCTGGATTTTATTGTGCGAGGAACAAAGCCGGGCGAGATGGTGTCTCAGGGGATTCAGCTCATCGGTATATCACTGTCTGTGATTGGCTGGTTCCTGGTCATCGTGGTGTGTGCCATGCCCATGTGGAAGGTCACTGCTTTTGTCGGGGCCAACATCATCACGGCTCAGACCATCTGGCAGGGCATGTGGATGAACTGTGTGGTGCAGAGTACGGGCCAGATGCAGTGTAAGGTCTATGACTCCATGCTCGCTCTGGCCCCGGACCTGCAAGCCGCTCGTGCCATGATCATCATCTCCATCCTGATTGGGATACTCGGACTGTGCATGTCCATTGCTGGAGGGAAATGCACCAACTGCATCGATGACGAGCGAGCCAAGGCGAAGGCTTGCATCGTGGCTGGAGTTTTGTTCATCGTCTCCGGGTTGCTCTGCCTTATCCCCGTCTCCTGGTCCGCCCACACCATCGTCAGAGACTTCTACAACCCGTTAGTGATCGCAGCCCAGAGGTACGAGTTGGGAGCGGCGCTTTACATCGGCTGGGGGGCCGCGGCTCTGCTGCTGATGGGAGGGGGTTTACTGTGCTGGAACTGCCCACCCAAACATGAACACCCCCACTACGTCCCCAAATTCTCTCCTGTGAAGTCAGCCTCCACATCAAGAGAATATGTATGAGGAGGACAGAGACTCTTAAAGGGCCACAGGAATGGAAACTTGCTTCAAACGTTAAAATATTTCTAACAATGCGATCGGTTTGGCACGAGCTGAACGCTGAGTTTGATTGTAGTTTGTGAAAGCGTCATGACCTTTCTCACAGTGGTTGTTTGTCTTATCCAGCAAGGTATAAATATTGGATTCATAACTAAGACTTGGAATATTATTCTTATAAACCCATGTAAATATTTAATCAGACTGTACTACATATTTCACATAGATTATCTCATTTTTCACTCACATGGAACAAACACAACATGTAGAGCGAACACAACATGCAGCTATCTTAATGCACGTCTTGGACTTCTGTGGAATAAGAATGTAAAATGGTGTCAGAAATGTTTTTTTTTCTCTCGCATGTCTCGGTTTCTTTTTGCATTTTCACACAACCTGAACAACATTTCTGTATTTCATTGTGTTGTAATGTTCTGTCACTGTAAATAAAATGTTTATCTACTGGATGAATGTTTGCTTATATGATATGTCTGAGAATCTCAAAGGGTATACGAGTGATGTAGAGGGTAAAACAAGGGAAGGGTTATGAAATCAATGCCACAGTGGAAGCTAAGGAACTGATGTTCTGAAGTTACTGAACAATAATATGCAGGCAGGTTGCTGCTTTTTTACATTAGACACAGGAAATTGAATAAATGACATCCTTTGAATGTGAACTTTTAAGCCATTTAGTTATAAAAGGAAATTAATTGTATGAGCTATAGACCAAAGAGGCATACACCGATAAAGTATTGTTTCTATATTTCTGATAATTCTCTTCTCTAGCTCTCAGTGTTGATCTGGTTTTCAGTGCAGAATCAAATGACAACATTCAGTCTGTGAACGATGAAGTGTGGTCTGTTTGTTTACATAACAGCATCCATCAGGTTTTGTAGGTACTTTTTTGTTCAAATGCAAAGCGACAGTTTCAGTACATGTGACTGACTTACTGTGTCTCATCATTCCTTCAAATGATCTCAATCTGTGCTGAAAGAGAAAATATCTTCCCCTCAGCTTGGGGCTCACCATCTGTCTTAGCTGGCACAGTAGTCATGTCTTGATTTGGGGACCGAAGAATGCCAAACATATTACATCATGTCAGGGACACAACGACTGTTGAGTCAACAGAAGCATCTTTTAAAAATCCTACAACACCAATTTTGTGAAAGCCTATCTGCTCTGATGTATGAGCACTTTAGCTCCATTTTTCAACATCCTTATAAACCTTAGGAGAAGCAACATGTCTGCTGTTTGTTCATACCAATTAGTGGCAAAAAAAAAGTCCCATTTTGGGAAAACACACTGCAGAAGAAATAAGAAGAAGCTCACAATTTCTGTCCACTCTTTTCTCTGAAAATTGTATCAAAAGCAAACAATAACATAAAAGTTTGAAAACATGATTCTTTTTTTAAAAAAACAATAAAGTACTAGAACATTTCTTTAGACTTTGGTACTCAAAAGGTAACACAGTTCATTAGTGTGTTTTGGTATTCAGTGGTCAAGATGCCTTGCCAAAACTCTGGTTTACAGTAAAGAGCATGTTTGTGGAGGCAACAACAAGACGTAACTTGATCAGTATCCATCTGTGACAATCTGAGCTGCTTTGAAGTGGCTAAGTGTCTGAAACACCAACCAATAAACCCATCTTTACTGCTAAGAAATCTGCATATGAGTGCTTGTTATCCAAGAACAAAAATAAAGCATTGTTTAAAAATGGAGGCCACTCCTCTAGCAAGGGAATCTTGTTTTACCAGAAGAACTAACCTGGCCGAGCGATGGCCCTCCCCCAGTAAATTCTTACCAACAATCAACGAGTGACAGAGCTCTGGCATTTCCCGAAAGAGAAGCAGACCTGTGTGCTGAAATTCTTCTCTCTCCTGCCTCAGACGAGGCCTCTTCACCATGGGGAGGATTGCCAAGGAAACGGCAGGTCAGGTCATCAGCTTTATCGGCTTTATTGGTGTGGCGGTGACCACTGGGATCCCGATGTGGCGAGTGACCTCCTTCATCGGAGCCAACATTGTGACAGGCCAGGTAGTGTGGGACGGCCTGTGGATGAACTGTGTGATGCAGAGCACGGGACAAATGCAGTGCAAGCTGAACGAGTCTGTTCAGAGGCTGTCGAGGGATCTGCAGACCGGCCGAGCCCTGGTCATTATCTCCCTAATCTTAGCCTTCGTCGGCTTCCTCCTCACCTTCATCGGAGCCAAGTGCACCAGCTGTCTGAAGAAAGAATCATCGATGGCCAAGGTGGTGATCTTAGGAGGATGTCTCATCATTGCTTCTGCCCTCGTGGTCCTGATCCCTGTCTGCTGGTCTGCAGCTGTGACCATCACAGACTTTGAGAGCCCCCTTACTATTGAAACACAGAAGAGGGAGGTAGGAGCTGCCATCTACATCGGCTGGGCCTCTGCTTTAATCCTCCTCATCGGGGGGATCATCCTCTGCACATCCTGCCCTCCTTCCACACCTATGTATGGATACCCCGGCTACCAACAAGGACCCCCTGTGTACCCTTATGCCGCCACAAACCCGCCAACCTACAGCCCTATGTATGTTCCCCCGTCCAGCCGAGCGTACAGCGGGTCGTATGGACCCCCCAAACTGTACGCAGCACCAACCGTCTACGCTCCTCGACAGTACCAATAAAAAAAAAACCCTGAAAGGACACAAAGAGGGTAAAGACTGAGATTACTGCTGCGGTGGCTCAGGTCATTGTGTACCTTAAGAAACTAATATTGCACAAAAATACATGATGTTTTTTTAGAGAATGCCATGTACTCTGATACATTGTTGGGATCTGAAATCAGCCAAACTAAGTTAAAAGATGTTTAATTCTTAAAAATGTTTTATAGAAATGTTTTCTCTTTGAGATTGATTTTTGTGAAATATTTCTACATCGTGAAGCCTTGATAAAAGAGCAACGTTGTGACAGCATGGCTGTTAAATGAGCACAAATGTATTCATGTCCTTGTCCCACAGATCTGATTTTGTAAATAGTGATGTTATGTGATGTGTTGTTTTTTTGTAAATACCACCTCAGGTAAAAAAAAAAATATTCTGAAGAGTTTCAATAAAATGTTGTAATTTATACATTTGTCTTTGAAGTTATTATTTCAACATGATTTATTACATGATGCATGATGTGAAATAATACAATTATGATCATCAAAGATCCAAGCCCTGGTGTTTGTCTTTCTATACTTGAGAAATAAAAATGATAAAATTCAAGCTGTACGGATATAAGAGTTATCAAAAATATTCTGGAAAATCATTTCAATTATTTTTTGGATTTAATTAAATAATCTGAGTATTTTACTGGCTTATCTGAAATACACAATGAGACATTATAAACCTTTAGAGTTGATTAAATCAAATCAAAATTAAAAACAGGAAACAGAACCATAACTAACGACCCCTGCTGTTGTCGTATGACTTCCGGTGATACTCTTATCCTGGTCAGTATTTTTTTTAAAACTTGAAACCATTGACATGACCTGTTCCTCCACCCGATCAAATGTTTGTCAATGGCAGTGCATTGTTCCACTTACGAATACGTTTTCCTACTTACGGACCTCATTAGCATAGAGTCGTTTCAAACAGATGCGCATCTCGTCGAAACCGCTCCCCATTGGAATCATGTGAAGAATCTGGTCGGGCAGGTAAATCACCGCACTGGTTTCAGGTCAGAAAGCAGGACATCATGACTCCACCCTCAAGAAAGACATACAGTACTTATACTCAGCGGAACTGTGCCACAGTATATATTCAACTTTCGGCTGAGCTGACCTGCTCCGGAAACTCTACTTCAGATCCAAGAGACTTAAAGAAGACCTCACCATGGTGTCAATGGGAAGACAGATGCTGGGCTATGCCCTGGCCATCGTCGGTTTCCTGGGAACCATCATTGTTTGTGCCTTGCCCATGTGGAAGGTCACAGCCTTCATTGGAGCCAACATTGTGACAGCGCAAGTCATCTGGGAAGGCTTGTGGATGAACTGTGTGACGCAGAGCACGGGTCAGATGCAGTGCAAGATCTATGACTCGCTGCTGGCTCTTCCTCAGGACCTCCAGGCGGCCAGGGCTCTAGTGGTCATCGCCATTATCGTATCAGCGTTCGGGGTCATCCTTGGCATCGCAGGAGGAAAGTGCACCAACTTTGTGGAGAACGAACGAGCCAAAGCTAGGGTGGCCATCGCTGCTGGAATAGTCTTCATTTGTGCCGGTGTTCTGATCCTCATCCCTGTCTGCTGGTCTGCCAACACCATCATCAGGGATTTCTACAACCCCCTCCTGACCAACGCTCAGAGGAGAGAGCTGGGGGCTGCACTCTACATCGGCTGGGGCACAGCTGGTCTCCTCATCCTTGGAGGCGCGCTCCTCTGTAGCTCCTGCCCACCCAAAGAGGGTCCAGAGTATCCAGTCAAGTACGCCGGGGCCAGATCCACAGCAACCAGCCGAGCCTACGTCTAAGAGATCCACTCTCCTTTAAAAAAAGACTCTATTCTTGACCCTCCTTTTGCTGTGAATATCAGACAGCACATGTTTATGTCTCACTGAAGTTGACACACTGAGAGAAATTCAGATTTGGTAAGAGAGTGTTTCTTGAGGAATGAGAAACACAGAGATGTGATGTGCAACGGCAGTACTGGCTTTGAAAGTCTTCCAACAGCCGAATGACTGGACTGAATGAGAAATATTTTTTATGAAGCTTGTATGAAACCTTATTTTTCTCTGATTGTTTGGTAAATCTAAGCTGGGCTAGGAGAATCAAAAAAAGCTATGATAGAAATAAACTTGTGTACCACTGATATGTTGTGAATTTATAATGTAAAGTACTTTACACTTTCCTTGTCTCTGTAAACAGAAATCACAGATTTTTAATAAAACATTAACACATTGTAATCCTTTGTCAAAGCACTTTTTTCAGTTTAGAGTTGACCTAAATATGTTTCGCTTTATCTTTGTTGTTTACATTTAAGGTTTTGGTTTGAATGTTGACGGCTAGAAAGACTTAAAATGAATTCATCGCCAAGGGTTAGGTAGTAAAGTAAACAAACTTAAATCAGGTCAGGAGCAGTGATTGTAAGTATTGAATCATAAATACTTCATGCATGAGTTATCAAAGTCCTGCTCACAGGAAATGTAAGGGCCTGGAATTTTAACTCACAGATCACAAGACAGAAAGTCTGACAAGAAAGAAGAAGGCAGTTTGCTCCAGTTCTTCACTCAGACTTTAAACAAGTTCAACCAGTTTCTAGTCTCCTGTGCCAGCTAAAAGCAACTGTTTTACTTTTGAACCCGTAAAGCAGCATTCAAAACGTTAAAATAAACAAAGGTAGGTCAGACTAACTGTAGAGAAGCTGATTAACGTGTTGAAGTACAAATCCACAGTGGCTAAAAATACAGTTTGATGCTGGAGAACATCTTTTTAGAGAAGGGACAACCATATTGACCTCGATAGAACTAAATCAGAATCAGAATCGTTTATTCTTGCCAAGTACATTTACTCATACAAGGAATTTGTCTTGGTGCAAAAACAGTTAACAAAGGAAATAAAGCAAAATAGCAAGAACTGAAATAAAATAAGTAATTACAAATATTTATAATAGAACATAAGAAATATAAAAACACAAAATGTACAAATGGTGCAGAATTAAAAGTCCAGTGAGCTTTAATGTAACGCTGAAGACATAAGAGGGCGAACATGCCCACTTTGGTATTCAGATGAAAACAGAGCTCTAATTTTGTTTTTTTCTGTGTGGGGTTTCCGGTCATTGACGTTTGATTCCACAATAATAACAACAAGCTTAAGCTTCAATCTTAAAGGCTGTGTCTGGCTCTAAGAAACTAGTAGTGCCTAAAATAATAAGATTTGTTAAAAGGGTAGATATAAGAATCTAAAACTTAAAGCTAAAAAAGAAATGTGTGTTTTGTTTTCATTTATTAAAATGAAATGACTTTGTGATTTATTCATTTATTTCCTGTGTATATTCCTGATTGAAAACTGTTTATATGGACCAAAATAAATTACTACTACTATTTACTGTTATTACTACTCTTCTGCATATTCACAACACAGTAAGATGATGAACAATGAAAAGACAAAACGTGACAAATCCTCTCAAAGCCTTATGACTTCACCTCTACCTTTGGTTCTCAGGCCTCTTTGTATCCTTTTACTCATTGGCAGTTCTAGACCACTTTTACTGAGGGGGCCAAACTGGGGCCAGTTGTTTTGTCAGAGGGGAACATTAAACCCAGGTGAAAAATAGTCAAAGATGATTACTTTAAACACACAGAATATATATTATGCCAAATAATAGCAACCATCATTAAATACCACAACATAAAATACCATGATTTATATATGTTTCAGTAAAAGTATTTAATACTAGACTGTAGGTCCGGTTGTTAATGTGTTATTAGGGGGGCTCTTCCTTTTGGAGGGGTGGACACAGGGGGGACCAAGCTCTGTATTACAGGGGCACTGGCCCCTGTTGGCCCCTATCTAGAACTGCCCATGCTTTTACTGCCAGTGTTGTAAATCTTTGAATGCTAAATCTACTTTTATTTAGTATGAATAAATAGTAGGGACTATTTTCAGTCGGGGACTAACACATATTTGGTGCTCTTGTATGTATTGAATGAATGAATGTAATGAAACTAGAATTTAATAGCCTATAAGATAATTTAAAAGTAACAGTGTCTTAAAAGGAGTAGATAAAAGTAAAACTTATATCCCTACCCCTTTAATTTCCCTTTCATACTTTTCTTCTCTTAACTCACAGTATTATTCAAATTTATTTACAACTAATATACAAATGAGTCTACACAGTCGTCGAGCAGATTGTTGCACCAGATCAGAAAACTCTGTGTATTTACAAACCAAAGATGTTTTGTGCTAATTTAGAGGAAGCCTTTACAAATGCTAATAGGACACACTGAATGACATCCATCACATGACCTTTGCCCTTTTGTTCTTTTTCTATTTCCAAATATTTCTGAAGATAGTTTTCAGCATCTTTTCTGAAACAGATTGTGGATTTGAAAGATGAAACTTTTTCAGTAGCATTAGAATCTGCTCGGTAGAAAAACCCACACATAATTTAAAAGCTGAATTTCACCAATCAATGCACTTGCGTGTACATCAATCCAAATACACATCACATATGTTATCTTCACATGGCTTTATGTTTTCATCTTTAAGACAATCAAAGCAGTTTGGTCTGCAATTTTTAGTGAGTTTCCTCGTTGTGAATTCAAAACGACAGCAGAAACTGAAGTCTTGCGCAGCATTGATTCCTGCATACAGAGCGATCACTCTAATATTTCGAGGTTCAGCCACTGGAAACAAATGAACCAGGGCCATGTCGTCTCATCACAAACATGATGTCAGCTTGGTGTAACAGAGGTTTCACTGAGATGAACAAACACACCCTGTTGTGTTGCTCATTTCACCTGGTATCACATTCCTGTGGGATCCTTAAGAGAGAGAATCTACCTGGACCTGTTCTCGGTTAATAACTATGTGCTGAAGTCACTCACATGCATCACAGTCTGGTTAACTAACCAACCAATGATTAAAAATAGGTTTCAGTTTATGACTCATCCAAATGTATTGTTTTTTTTCCTTATTTGAATAATATAAGTAGTTCATCCTGGGTGATAGTAACTATAGTTTTACAGCTTTTTAATGACCTTTATGTATTTTATGTCAGGAGGGGGTTGAGGGGAAAAACAAAGACATTGTATAGAGCCAAAACAAGCTTCCTAAAATAAATAATGCACCAAAAAATGAGCAACTAAACCACAGCTGACTCGAAACTATGTTATCCAGGAGACCCAGAAAACACGGCTGCCAGGGAAACCTTAAAAGTGAACACAGAAGGCACAGAAGTAGAAAGAAATGACCCAGCACCCCTTACACTCAGTTACACTCAGACACGGGCAATGGACAGCAAATATATAGAAAGGTCTTGGTTTGTGTTTATACGGTCTAACACATACACACAGACAGGTCCAGCAGATGATTACTTATTTCAACATATAAGAAGCAACAAATAAGGCATGAAGTGCTTGTAATCAGGAAATATCTGCAAATGAAACAAACAGAATGTAAATGTTAAATTACTTGAAATTCGATCTATTGTCTTATTCAAGGTGAAATGTTTCATTTATTAACAACTTAACTAAAGTTTGCTCGTCAGATTGGCAGATCTTTTTACTACTCATGAGCCATTCATGAACTAAAATGTTTATCTGGACTTGTCAGGTGGATGTGGCTTATGTTAAGTGTTTGGTAATGAGATATTTTTGACTTGAAATAAAACAAATACACCGGCTAAAATGTCAGTGTTTGTAGTGAAGACAAACGCACCAAAATACTGCAGACAAATGTCAGCAGAAAATATGAGGACCTTTTTTCACCCTGCCATGGGTCTCATATAGAAATTAAATGATTCCTTAAAAGTACAAGAAAGCAGCAAACAGTGGTAACCCAAGTCTGTGTTTCTTGATAACATTGAGCTGATTTCTGGAGCTAAACGATGTGTAGATATTTACAGAAAAATGTTCATAGGCAGTTCTATTAACAAGCTGCAGTGATTTATGCAGTGTCACAGGGTGAAGACTGTGTTGAGGGGGCCGGGATTGTTTGCAGACTTTACCCTTTCTCCTCTTGCACACTCGTATTGGACAGTACCGTGCGTGTCTCTCACACAATTTGTGCACTTCGCTCTGTGCACTTTTTTTCAGTTTGGTGCATTTTCTGTCACACCTTGTCGAAGTACCAACAAAACCCTCTGTAACACAATCCTCCTCTCCATGCACCAGAACAATCGAAACTCAAACCTTCATTGTCATTCCTTTAAAGAATCCTGCATGGCTGGTATTCTTTGGCAGGCCCTGTGAGGTCCTTAATAGCTATTGCTTTCACGCCTTCCATTCTTCAGTGTGTCTCAGATGCACACTAACAACCTGAACAGCTCCTAATATTCTCTCAGAGACGACCAGAGAGAGAGAGAGAGAGAGAGAGAGAAGACGATGGCTTCCATTGGGATGCAGATGGCCGGCTGCGCCCTGGCCCTCTTTGGCTGGATCGGGGTGCTCATCGTCTGCGCCACTCCCATGTGGCGAGTCACTGCCTTCATCGGGAGCAACATAGTGACATCGCAGGTGATCTGGGAGGGCATCTGGATGAGCTGCGTGGTCCAGAGTACTGGCCAGATGCAGTGTAAGGTGTACGACTCCATGCTGGCTCTGAGCATCGACCTGCAGGGGGCCCGGGCTCTGGTGGTGGTGTCTATCGTCGTAGGCCTCGTCGGGATCCTCGTCGCCTTCGTTGGAGGGAAGTGCACAAACTTCATTCCAGAGGAGAGGGCCAAGGCCAAGGCTTCAGTAGCAGCAGGTGTCTTACTGATCATCAGTGGACTCCTCTGCCTCATCCCTGTCTCCTGGACCGCAAGCATCATCATAAGAAACTTCTACAACCCTGTGCTAGTGGACGCCCAGAAAAGGGAATTGGGGGCCACTCTTTACATCGGCTGGGGGGCCGGGGCGCTGCTGCTTGTGGGAGGAGCACTTCTGTGTGCCAACTGCCCCCGCAAAGAGGACGAGAGCCCCTCTGAGAAGTACTTCCTGAACGACGCAGGAGGAAGTAGTAGACAGGACTCAGCCCGATCTTTTACAAAGACATACATTTGACACGTCTGATGTTGACAAGGAGAAGACGGGTTGATGATGACTGTCGTTTCTTTTTTTTTTGGCCACAAGACGTAAAAATCAAATTGAACCAGTTGCTGTGAAACATCAAGAAAAAGGACATACACACAGACAACAAACCATGAAGGAAACATGCACTTTGTCTTTAAGAGGATCGCACTGTACCAGATGTATGAAGATTTCTGTGTCTGAGTTCTCTTGTTTTTATCTGTTGTTGTTTTCTGTAAGGCACTTTGTAACTTTATTTGGATTAGTGTTATAGATGAATGATTATAGTATTATATATATGGTTATGTTCTGGGTAATGAACATGGATTTGGGGTTAGTTTAAATTATCTTTGTTTTATATTTGAGGAAAACATTTTAAGAAAATAATTTATTTAAGTTTTGATTCATTGAATAAATGACCTTCTAATGTCTTTCGTTACTATCATGCATCTTGTGTATATATCCAGAAATGCACTTGTTGTTATTTGAACCAAACTCTGAGAGAACCCGTTTGTCAGGTAGAGCTCATTATCCAGCGAGTGAACACGGTGACTCAGGGAGTCTACATCTCCGAGGTGATTTGTTTAGTAAAAACATCCCGCTTTGGAAAGTTGTATCCATCACTGCCAACATGTGCTTCATAAATGCTGGCCAGGAAACAGGTCAAAGGAAATGTAACTAAAACTATGATATGATCATTATGAAGCAAACATGTTCTCCTACTTCTCTCAAACACTTTTGGTTTGATTTAGAAATTTTTTGTTTTTTTTAGTTTACAGTCCCACCAAACCAGACTGGAGTGTCTCCTCATGTTATCAGCTGCAGATCAGAAAGGATTAAGTTACTCCAAAGTCTCAGGAAGGGTGTGAACTGTGTTAGTGTGTTCTCAGGGTTTACCTGCAGATTTCACCCCACAGCAACTTCCTCTACTCCTGAGAACAAGAAAAGGGAAAAACGATAAACACATGAGGACATTGTTACATTGACATTTCAAGTCGATCAGTTCTGTCTTTGTTTGAATTTAAATGTCAGACATTATTCTCCAGTGTTTAAAAGGTTTTTGTTTTTATGTGAATATTTTGTTGCATCGGTAAAGCGGAAAGTTTAGTCATTTCACTGACACAGATAAACGTCAGAATTAAAAGACGCATGTCTAAGATGAATCATTCAACACAAAACTAACAATAACAATAAATGTACTAAATATACAAATACTATGGTTGAGGGTGTTTCTCTTATTATCCACATGCGGAGTTGTCTAAGATTTGGTCAATTTGGAATTCATGATATTTTATTATCTTCACTATATTATATAAGACGGAGAGTAAAAAACAGCAGACACTTTATTAAAGGTAACTCTGCCACTCTTCATAAATATTCTAATTAGAAAAAAAATTAAATCTATTTGGATGCGATGGGATGCAATACACTTTTCTGTCCCCATGGGGAAATTTGTCTTGGGACTTCGAGCTAGCTTCCTCTACTGTATTAAACAATTAAACAAAGTCTGCAAAACACTGGATATGATGATTCAAATAAAGTAAGAAATGTCTGAAGATGGCGAGTTTGAAAACATTTGGTTTGCATGTCAACAACTAAAAGAATCTTTCTTTTTCTAAACCGTTCAAATATATTATTTTGGAACTTATCTCTTCAAATCAAACCTCATTTCCCCTCAATTTGTTGCCTCCATGACATCATCAGTTTATGACCTCAGGTTGTCAGAGTAATATCCTTAATCTGTGTTCTTCTTTTGAGACGTGCTGCTCCCTAGTGGCACTTCGCCTCCATGACTAGAAAACCTCCACATTTTTTCCTTATGACGTCAGTGATGAGAAACTACGACTATGAAAAAAACCCTGTGACACTGTTATCACTTCTGACCTCATCATACCTGACATTCCTTCAGCTCACGTGAACATCATGTTGACCTGAAGCAGAAAATAACATTTTAGTTTTTTTATTTGAGAATTAAAAGAATCACAAAGTAAATATCATGCCTTTCTAACTTTATTCAACAACATGTCAGGATGTTAAAAGAGGGAGCTTAGATGTGTACTTTCTGAATAAATACTCAAATGTTTTTGTCCCCCCCCCCCCTCTCTCAGGGTCTGCAGAGACATGGCTCTGCAGGAGCTGGGTATCAGCCTCTCTATGATAGGTGTAGCTGGCACCATCCTCATCTGCGCTCTGCCCATGTGGAAGGTGACGGCGTTCATCGGCACTCACCTGGTGGTCATGCAGGTGTTCTGGGAGGGGCTGTGGATGACCTGCGTCAGCGAGTACACGGGTCAGATGCAGTGTAAGCTCTACGATGCCCTGCTCGACCTGTCTCCTGACCTCCAGGCGGCCCGCGGCCTTCTCTGCATCAGCCTGGTGCTGGGATGTCTGGGCTTCCTCGTCTTTCTCCTGGGAGCACGCTGCACCAACTGCCTGGGACACCCGAGGATCAAGGCTCGGGTGGTGCTGAGCTCCGGGGCCATCTTCTGCCTGTCGGCTCTCACCACTATTGTTGCGGTCTCCTGGACCGCCAACTCCATCATCAGAGACTTTTACAACCCACGCGTCCCCGAGGTGCTGAAGAGGGAGATGGGAGCGGCCATATATATCGGCTTTGTGACGTCTGGGCTGCTGTTCTGTGGAGGAGCCATTCTGTGCACGAGCTGCCCACAGCGGAGGGGGCGGTTCAACTCCAGTGGGTACACGCTGGCCAGGACGGCCACCCACAGCTACGCCATCAAAAACTATGTGTGAAGTGAGGACTGCCAGCTGAACACAGAAAACAACAACACAAACAAACCAACACTTAAAGTCTTTATATGTGATTTTAAAAACTTAAATATAAATCAAGTATATCCTCTGAAAATAACTCTGTGAGTCATGACTGTCTACAATGGGTGTAACACCCGAGTCCCACTGTCTGTGATGTTTTCAGAGTTTTCAGAGTCCTATCTTCACTTTGTTTACATCGCCAGGACGGCCGGCTGACTCCTCCCCTCGTGTATAAAAGTTGTTTAATTGAGGGACTAGAGAAAAGAAGAATAACATACTGTACTCACTGCTTAACTGTGTTTCTAGATCACGCTCATTTCAGGTAAATTTACATGCAGTGTGAAGATACCAGCGTAATAAAGATCGCTAGCATTAGCATGCTAACACAACAATGCAGCAAAGTTGTTTTGGTTTCATGCTGGAGCTCAAGGGTGACATCTGCTGGATCAAAAAAAATCGCATATAAAGCCTTTAAGGATGAATAAACTGAACTCTGTGATCAATGCATTTAACCATACATAGCGTTTACATGCACAGACCACATACAGGTACTGCAAAAACATGTCCAGACACATACAAGGAATGTTAGTTCAGTGATTTAATAATACTGAAGTATGTTGTCATTTTCCTTCTGACTGACACAGTTACTTTCATTCCGTCCACATTTGTGCCAATACAACTATCTACCAGTGTTTTGTGTTTTCTTTCCTTCACAGGGGTTTAAAAATGAGATGGGATTATGAGAACGATGTTAGATATTATTAGATGATTAGTGAGTCTGACACAGTTATAAACTTATGTTAGAACTTTTTGAAGTAGTAAATCATACCACAGCTTTCCTCTCCTCCTATATGAAGAACTACTTTGTTGCAAAAGTCAGTTCGATGTTTTAGTTATAGCTGAATGTTGTTTTTTTTTAAGAGAAGAAAAACACAATCATGTTTTAGTCGTGATTGTTTTTGAAATTTTTAATCAGAGAAAGTTTGTCGTGCTAGAAAATGTTTGTGGCCAGTGAATTTCAAAATAAACACTGCAGAGCAAACATGTGGCAGCTCAATCTGTTTTTCCATCAGGAGCCGAGGAAGGTGGCCTTTAGGTGTCAGAGCTGTTCTCCCTTCAGTCGACGGCTAACTGAGAGAAGACAAAAATCGAAAACTTGATTAAGACGTCGTGGCTCTTTAAATCAAGGTCTCTCTGAAACATGACTCAGCGGGTACAAGTCAGAGCACAGAGGAGGTCTTTGTGTCTCGCCTCCCCGCAGAAAAATGGGAGAAAGGGATTGTTTTGAAACCATGGCAGAGCATACAAGAGGGGATTTCTCTCCTCCGCCCATGCCGTGCCTTCCTCTTTCCATGAATGCCAAAGAACTGGTTTCCCCTTACTGAGCAGACGAGCAAAGCAGACACACACACCTACACAAACACCCACACACACACACACACACACACACACACACAGATTGTCTCTAGCTCTCCCACATGCACACACATGTTAAAATAACACCCCGCCCCGCCTCTGCTGCCAGCTGTTTCTGGTTAGGCGGTCGGGGCCTTACAGTGGAGAGCAGGAGCAGGCCGGAGTCATGCTGCTGCAGCGGAGGCTGGAGCTCGCTGCCCTCGCTCTGGGCCTCACAGGGTGGCTCTGTGCCATCCTGACACGCTGCCTGGCCCTGTGGAAGGTGAGCGGCTCTCTGGACAACACCACGGCCACCCTGCCTGCATACTGGGACGGGGTGTGGCTGGAATGGGATCACTGGGACTTGGCCCACGACGGTAGCCTGCACTGCTCCTTCTACCGGTCTCTCATGTCTCTGTCTGGGAGTTTTCGGACATGGAGAGCCCTCATCATGGCTGCCATCGGAGCCGGGGCTTTTGCCGTGGTGATTGGAGCGGTGGGGGCGGTGTGGTTTCCCCAGCGTGGCCAGGTTAAAGTTGTCACTGGGGCTGTCTTTGTTTTGACTGGGATTCTGCTACTGGTTCCCATAGCTTGGACGTGCCATCACACCAGTCAGCCGCTGGAGGGAGCCGTGCTGATGAGGAGAGACTGGGGCCCTGCACTGTACCTGGGATGGATCGCCTCTGCTCTGATGCTGATCGGGGGGGTGTTTCTCACCACCAGGTGCCCCGCGAGAGACCCGCAGCAGCCCGATGTGAGCAGACCAGCGGATGTAGAGGACGAGGCGAATCACCCGCTGAGCAGGATCAACAGGACTACATTCACAAGCAGCCAGTATGAGCGCAGATCAGAGCCCATCTGAGCAGACTGGGGTGTCACATTGAACCGAGTGTGAGTGGAATCAACTGATGTGGAGTGACTGTAGGTAGATGAAACAGCAGGTTGAGTAATGATGCACAGGTTTCACTTTGTGTGAACTTAACTTCTCGTGTTACTAGTTTTACTTTGCATCTTATTTGAATGTGTTTTTCATGGAAGCTGACACACACTGTAAACTGGAGTAAACTCACTCACAGCCCTTTGATGCTTTTATACACTGTATCGTCTTGAACTAGACTGAGAAAATATTGGTCCTTAAAAAGACATGTTTACCAATGAGATGAATTCTTCTGCACCAAAAAAGACTTTGTGGATTAAACAGGTCGGACATGTTTGTTTTCAAAAGTTGTTTGTCTTGATTTGTGCATCATGGTGGTGTTAATATATCACTATGAGGAGGTGATAAGGACATATATTTTTACTTCTGGCTTTTAAATCATTAAATGGCTCAACACCTCACTACCTAAGTGAACTACTACATGTTCATGCTCCATCCAGAGCACTAAGGTCCTCCAACCAGCTGCTCCTGGACGTGCCCAAAACAAGGCTCAAAACGAGGGGCGATCGAGCCTTTTGTGTTGCAGCTCCGACACTTTGGAACAGATTACCATTTAAAATAAGATCTGCTGCCACAACTGCACAGTTCAAGTCATTTTTAAAAACCCATTTCTTTTCCTTGGCTTTTACCTCTAGTTGAGTGTTTTATCCCAGCAGCAGTGTCTACGAGAACTTTTAATATTGTTTTGTGTTTTAATTTACTTTTAATTTTTGCTTTTACGTGTCTTTATGATGTTTTGGATGTGATGTATTTTGCCTGATTTACTGTAAAGCACTTTGGTCCGCCTCGACTGTTATAAATGTGCTATATAAATAAAGTTGACTTGACTTGATATATATACGAGAGCCCTTTAATTAAAAGTGATATTTATAAAGGAGGGTAAATGATGGAAGCAGCTGGTGTCTTGTGAGAGGTTTTCAAAGTGAAGCTGAACTTATCAGACTTCTGTTTGCAGATCTCTGCCCATGTTTACCAGACAAATCAGAAGTGATTCACTTTGGATCAGGTTTCAAACTGAACACGGTCACACACAGTTCAAGTTCACTTTGTCCAAAAAAAACTTCAGTTTAGGTGAAAGATCCATTTCACCATTTCCTGTTTTTGCTTTAAATTTTAAAATATTTGTTTCTATTTCTCTCATATCAAAGTTTAAGTTAGACATGTGTCTGTTTAGGAGGAGATTTCACTATTTTTGAAGGTGAGAATAAAATGTTAGTAAAGTAGAAAACACTTAATTGTTTGTGACATGATAGTGATAAAGTGTTTGTGAACGTATCTCCACAGTTTAACCCCTCAGAGCCGCTTTGGTTTGTTTTTTTTGACAGTTTTGCAAGAAAAAAACAATCAATATATTTTACTGTATGATGATACTGTATGATAAAAGTTTGAGCATGAAGTTCATAATCAAACAATACATGTTTTTATTCTTTATTCTTGATCTGTTGTACATATATTTGTATGATGTGTTTCATTAGATAGAATTCCTTTTACTGGTTTGGATGTTTTGTTGAACATGTTTTTGGTTTTAAGTTACACAACCTGTGGTTTTTAAATCAAGTGTGTGTAATAAATCAATGCACCTACACAAAGAGGGTTATATTCCTTTAAATATTTATTTGCTTACAGAGAAAACAGTCATTTTGAAAAATATAAATAATTTGTTAAAAGAAATTATCTATTGGGATCTTGAGCGTGACTACATGGCACACACAAAGTTTGCGATGTTCCCTTGGTCCTTAACTTCTGTAAATGAAGCCCAGGAATCTTTAATAAACTTTAACTTTAAGTTTAGCTATGAATGCTCAAATTAGTTCCAAAGTCCCTCTCCATCCAAAATGCAAATCAGGCAAATAAAAAAAAAGTCAAATCAATCCTTTAAACAGAGAGACACTGGTAGGTAGGCGTGTCAGGAAGTAGCATGAATCTCTTCAGAAATACTGAGATGAGTTTGTGCTGCATTGAAGCGTGTTAGTGTGGATAAGGTGCAGAGAGAGAGTCCTGAATGATTGGTGTTATTATAGTTTCTCGTCTCCTTCCTCCACATCCTTCAGACTGAGAACCTCCAGAGAACCTCGGCCTTTGGTCTCGCAGCGGATCAGTTCATCGATCTCCCTGTAGCAGCCGGGATCCACCAGACACACCTGAGAGGATGAGAGGGAGGAAGATTAAAGCATCGGTTAATACAGAGAGAGAGAGAGAGAGAGGAAGATTTCACAAACACAGACTGAAAAAGTAGCAAGTGGTCGCAAAATGATACCCACTAAAATACACAGGGGGAGTTAAAAAGTTCAAAATAGTTTGCTCAATCACAGACACACCGTGTGATCTTCCTCACCATTTCCAGCTCCTCATCAAAGTCTTCACTCTCCACGACCTGCATCAGCGGCTTCAGCTTCTCCTTCAGCCTCTTGGCCTCCTTGGCGGGCAGCACGAGTCGCAGCCTCATGTGAGCTCTCTGGATCTGCATGGTCTCCGTCAGCTGCCGGATCACCTCCAGAGCCTGGGAACAACGACACACACACACACACAGACATTTCACATCTTAGGACGTCCTTTTTCACTTTTGAATATATTCTTCTGTCAAATTAAACAAGTTGAAATTGTCTTCATTTCTAAAATAAGACTCTGAGGTTTATAGTTTATTTTTCTTTGAGCATCTCAGATGTAATGTCAGTGCGATCCACTTATGTGCTTTGAGCTGCAGCTTCATTAAAGCAACTTGATTAAAAAAAAAAAAAAACACTCCAGGTAAGAACAAATTACTTAAAGGTCCCATATTCTGCTTTATCTGGTTTTATATGCTCTTTAGTGTGTTTTCACTGTGCATGTTTAGGAACATCTATGTGCAAAAATTCAAAGTCCTCCTGTTAGCTGTAGCATTAGCTGCTGTAACGCTCGGTTCTAGCCCCCCTCGATAAAAATGTGTCAGTCCGACGTCATTGTCAGTGTGATGTCACTGATCTAAGCCCATTGGCTCGTTGTGGCAAGCCCTGCAGCTCATGTTGAAATTTCCGAGAAGCGTGCTGAGCAACTGACCGATAACGACAGAGCGGATTGGCAGACCAATCAGAGCAGACTTGGCCCACGTGGGGTCTAACAGTGTGGGCTCAACAGAGTGTAGCTGACTTTAGCTATTGTGAACGTACAAAAGTAGGTACATAGATTAAATATACGAACCCCAAAAGGGGCAGAATATGGACTCTTTAAAAGTGCTAACTGCAGGAAGAGCAAATTCTCCAGTCTTCACAGTTACACTTGAATGCATCATTGCAGAGTACATTTTTCTTTTGGTGTCTTGTTAGCCCACATGACGGTTTGGCACTTAGTGTACATGACACATAAATAAAACACAATCAATCAACAGTACACATCAATCATGTGACATATTCAACTATATTTCCACGTGTAGTTTTGAAAGGACTACAAAAATGAATGTAGTGACTAGAAAAAATATATATTTTTGAGGCAGCAACTTAAATTTCTTTCTCAGAGTCTCTTGAAAGGCGCTACATGAATCTAAGGAAGCTATTATTATTATTAAAGACATCCACGTCTCACACCTGTTGTTTACTGCTCTTGTTAGGCTTGATGGAGTAGTGGATGTCCTTCATTGCCCGCTCGATGAGACTGACTGTGTACGGCCTCTTGGTCTCGGGGTTGACACACTTCTCTGCCACAATAGTTGCAATGTCCCTGAACGTGGTCTCCAGCTGACTCTGCCTCTCCTTGTCTGACACCTGCAGCTCTCCTTTGGCCAGGATCTGTCACAAAACAACAACAAAAAACACACAAAGACAGGAAACAGCACACAGAGAAGGTGAGAAGGTGAAGGTGAACACTGCTCTTATGGCAAGCCCTTTTAACATTAACACAGTCTGGCTGACAAGTAGCAATTTAGTTTTCACTCGTGGAATTTACATTTCAACATTTTGACATGTTGAAATGTTAATTCAAGATATCTGTAATTACGTTCTTACATGTAATAATTCCAGGTCAAGATATCAATAATGTAATTTCGACTAGTAAGAATTGCATTTTAGATATCTAGAATGAATTTATGATATCTGTAATGTTAGAACAATTGTAGATATCATAAATGAACTTTGTCATAGTAAGAATACAATTGTTGATATCAAGAATTAACATTTTTACTAGAGAGAATTGAGTTGTAGAGATCATGAATTAAAATTGCGACATGTCAAAATGTCATTATGGATATGTCGACTTTGAATTACAACATGTAAACATTGACTTACAGATATCTGTAAGTCAATTTGAATAGAAGTCAGTGGCACAAGTTGACTAGTTGTAATTAAGTTACAGATATCTACAATGACCATTTCCAAAAATGAATTGTAGATATTTTTAATTAGAATTGTTACTCCTGAAAATCACATTGTGGATATGTCGGCTTGGAATTCTAACATGTCAAAAAGCAATTATTGATATCTACAATTGGTGTTACCGCTAATACCTAAATGTTGAAAGGGCTTTCCGTACGGCTCTGACTCATGAGAATGACACAGACACAGAATCAGTTCTCACCTGAGTACAGATTTCTGTGAGATCATCCGTCCCAAAAGCTTTGATCAGGTCCTCCTTCTTAGCCGTCTGACCTTTGGACACATTGATGAAGACTGAGTTTGTCTGCAAAACCTCATCCAGATCTTTCTCCCTGGAACAAAACACACAACACAAAGGAAGGACATTCAGATATGATTCTCTTAGTTAGATCAATTACACATCAAGGAAACAAACCAACACATGTCCTTTGACTCTTACACCAAGTAAACAAGATGTTAAATTCAAGCAGAACAAGGTAAACAGTGAGAGATGATTCAGGTGATGTAAACAGTGAGTTATGATTCAGGTGATGTAAACAGTGAGTTATGATTCAGGTGATGTAAACAGTGAGAGATGATTCAGGTGATGTAAACAGTGAGAGATGATTCAGGTGATGTAAACAGTGAGTTATGATTCAGGTGATGTAAACAGTGAGTTATGATTCAGGTGATGTAAACAGTGAGTTATGATTCAGGTGATGTAAACAGTGAGAGATGATTCAGGTGATGTAAACAGTGTAGGTGTTACTCACGCTCCTGTCCTCCAGCTCATGACTTTATTCTTGTAACAGGCGATTTCAAAACGCTTCCCTCCTTTCTTCATCCTCACCACCGCCACGTTAGTGAGCCGGATTTGATTTGTTGGTGTAAATATCGACATCCTGACGTTTCCTCGGACAGAACTGTTTGTCTAACACAATGTTATCATGAGAAAAAAAACAACGCTGTCAGGCTGAAGCATAGGGCTAAATGCGCCACAAGTGCGTTTCCAAATAATGTCCGACGTGAAACTTCAGCGGAACAAAAGTTCTGGTCCCCGTTTTATCTTCAGCTTGATTTCTATTATTTTCGGACTTTAGAGGAAAATTCTAAACTAATTTATGAAACGAATGTAATTTAAAAAAACAACAACTCAGTAAAACATTCATGGTTTCCATGGTTACACAGTGTACCTAAAACGTTTGTTTCAAGGAAGAATAGAATAGAATAGAATAGAATAGAATAGAATAGAATAGAATAGAATTACTTTTTTGATCCCAAACTGGGAAATTGTGGCGTTACAGCAGCAGGTTGTCCAAACACACAATATAAGTAAAAAACACAATGTTAGCAAATTTAAACATAATATAATATCAAATATAAAGTAAATAAGCACTAAAAATATCAAAACTAAGAATGGAAATATAATATATTTAATATTTATATATGTAACATGTACAACCAGGATTTAACTTTAGCATTACTAGTCTTTAATAGGAATATTAAATATGGAAGATTAAATGTAAATGTTCAAAAACAGAGTTGTAAATGTTGTAAATTAAATATGAAAGATTAAACGTAAATGTGCAAAAACAGAGTTGTAAATAGACAGTATTGACATAAGTTAAAGTGCATGTTAAAGAGTTAAAAGTTAAAGAGCAAGGTGTATTAATGAAAATACCTGTACAGTTAATGAATAATACTACAAAATATCTGTTGGTCGCACTGATAAATGTGGCTATATAATCAAATTGTAAAGGTGTGTAGATATTCATTCGTTTGTTGTTTTATTTTGAAAATATTTTCCGGAAGTTTATGAATTCTGCATTAGCGCTGTCTTGATTTGATGTTGCAGTTCTTCAATATGTCCACTGGAGGGCAGTATTACCAATCTAATGCTCCCATAGCCAACTCCGCCTAGACTGAAGCTATTAAACAATTTACCTACGACCACGACAGCAAATATATTTAAAATAAATCAGGTTGACACATAGACTGTACATATTATTATTATTATTATTATTGACACGATATTTCACTTAACATTTACCACTGAACACTTTTTTAAATGAAATTTCTAGAAGGAACGAGCTGATAGTCAAGAGAGAATAATTATATTCACAACACTTCCGGTGAGTACATTTGAAATAAAAGCAGTTAGGACGACGTAGTAGCTGCTATGAGTCCTGAAGACGTTAAATTAAAAGAGCCAAACATGGTTATGATTTGTGCTGTGTGTTTTTTTTTAGCTCCAAAAACCTGTAATTTCAAATTCACGCCTGGAACTGCTTCAAGCGCGCCGCCGACAACAATCACAACTCCATTTCCCAGCATGCATTTCGGCACAACAACATGGTTGCGCACATCATCACTTGTTAAGGATAGAGTGTTTTATTAAAGCGTTTTGCAGCGATGCTGAGTTTTTTCTTGTATATCTTACCTTTCACGAGTTGCGTGTCTGCCTTGGACGCCACAGGTGAGCTTACTCAAACTTATTACGGACCCGGAAACTGACTTTGTGCAGTTTAATAGTGAACGTCATTTCGTATTGTTGGTTAGCATACTATTGTTAGCCCGTGACCCGCCTGTTATCTGCTGCAGGTGACCCAAGGTGTTGACTTGTTACTTATCGTGAGAGTCTGGAGAATAGTTTGTTGTGGTTCATTTGCAAAGTGGAAATCTATATCATTAAGATAAGATAAGATAAGATAAGATAAGATAAGATAACCCTTTATTGAGTGTTTGCTCAGTGAAAGACAAGAAGAAGAGCATGCATATGAGAGCAAATAAAACAAGAATGCATAGGAATAAAAATGCAGATCAAGGTGCAATGTATTTACAAACTATTCTAAGTAAACTGTACACCAATTAAGATCTTAATTATTCACTCAAAACTATACAGGATATTGAGACATATTAAGTGACACTTGCCAAAATAAAAGGACTCAGTTGGATGTTTTTGCTCCCTTCAGTGTCCCAGCATGCCCACAGTCCCACTGAGAGCTGCGTCATGTGGATATGGCACTACAGGTTGTACTTGTATGCAGCTGCTGCTCTCGTCTTTGGGATCTGGTTCTCTGTGAAGACCGTCCTGAGGAAGGTGAGTCCCACACAGTCGATCATCATCTTCAGTTGCAGCAGTGTGTTTTGACCTCTGCTTAGATTTCCAGTCATCTTCTTCTGTGAAGAGGAAGCTCAACCTGTCTTTAATTTGTCATTTCATTGATTTGCCTTCCTCTCTGTGTGTTTTTTTTTTTCAGAAAAGCTTCTCCAAAGACGTCGGCTCATTGGTCCTCAAAGCGGTGAAGAAGGACGACTGCTCGGGCAGAGACGCCGTGGTTCATGTGGCCGCTGTTAAAATCTTCTACGGCTCGCAAACTGGAACAGCAAAGGTACAGATACAGAAGAACCTGAACATCCTCCTCACTGACTTTGATTGTAACGTATAGACAATATGATTCTGTAAAATCAGAAATCGATTCGCTGCCTTTCTATTTTTGTAACCAGCATTAAAGACACAAACAGAGTTTATTTAAAACACTGCTAACACTTCATGTTAACATAAACTCAACATTTCCACTCTGTAAGCCGCAGAAACCAGGATTGAATTTATGGTAAATGAACGTTTTCAAACCACTATCCTTGTGCAAAGCAATGTTTCCCTCCTAGTCCGTCCACAGTGATTAGTCCAAGCTCAAACATAAAACATTTTCCACTCTGAGATGTGACTTGTGATGTACTCAGGGCTTTGCAAAGGAGCTGTCAGAAGAGGTGGAGACGTTGGGAATACCAGCGGAGGTGATTGACATGAAAGACTACGATCCAGACGATCATCTTGCAGAGGAGGTGAGCCACCCGTCAGAGGAGAAGCAGATTTTTTTCTTTGTCTAGTGAAGGAGAGAACAAAGTGTGAAAAGACCCGCAGTAAGCAGCTGAAGAAAGCCCTCGACTTGAGGATGTCAGAGTAAGAGACCGTGTCCTGTGTTCACAGCTGCTCCTCAGCACAGAACCCTCATTTATCACTCCATACATGTGAAGTGAGCGACTCATTGTTGTCTCTCTGATAAGAAGATTAAACATGCTGCAACAAGACGTTGCTCCACGGTGATAATTAAATCTCTCAAATGTTTCCTTAAGCGCAGAAGTCTTGGCAACATGTACTTACAGGAAAAGATTAATCAACACAGAAAGAATCAAAGTGAAATGAATGATAAATGTTTTTGTTGTCTTATTGAAAGCGTGACAACAAACAGAACATCCAGCCTGCAGTGGTTTTATGTTCCAGCTCAGTGTTTCCCCTCGTTCCAATCTTCAAACAGCTGCCTCAGAGGAGCGATATATGTCACACTAATCCAGCTCAACCAGAGAACAATTGATTATTTTCATCACTTATCTTTTTTACTTGGACGCAGGCACCTTGTAGAGCTTTGAGAGATTGGATAGGAGTGGCTTTGGTTTAGAGACAGACAAAGATTTCAGTCAAAGGGAAAACTCCACAGGTGAAATGGACACAAGCATCTCCAGACCAGAGGGCTGAGGAGAGCTCCTGCATTGCACCTTTTTGTCCATTTGACTTTATTTATATTTCATTTTATATGAATTAACATTATCCTGATCTTATCGTATTAGACTTCCTGAACAGTAGTCGTGCGGCTTTGTCTTAAAGGGGACATATTATGAAACTTGAGTTATATTATGCACTGTTTGTTTGTTTGTTTGTTTGTTGCAGTTGAGGCAGATTCAATCCGTATTTTACACATTTAGTTTTATTCTTTAATCATAACAACATTCATTATTTACTCTAATTTATTGATCACATTTTAAAAATATATTTTTTTAACAATATGTTTATTGAGTTTTAAACATTTTTCCAAGACACACAATTACAATTAAATAAATTCTAAAGAAAAAAAAATATACACATGCACATATATACACATTTATAAAATAAAGGAGGAAAAAGTAAGATATAATAATAATAATAAAAAATAAAATAAAAACTTTAATGACAAAATGTTGCAAAATTATTACTGTAAATAAAAATAACGAAATGGATCACATTGCCATAGATGATTTGTTAATCACAAATATTCTGCCCTAGAACAGTTTCTCCTAAAATGACCACAAATACAGACATTACCAACTCTTTACCAGCCTCGCTCAAAATATGTGACAGATCTTTATCCCCATGAAAATGAATATATAGGCCCCAGATATCGTCAAATAATTCTCATTGTCTTCAAGTGTATATGTTACATTGATCACATCTTGTTTTTAATTTATAAAAGTCTCACTTTGTCTGGCTGTGTCTGAAGTGTGCAGTTTAAAAAAGGCTTCCAGCATCTTTAAATGTAAGCCTTTGCTGTGTGTAATGAAATGCTCTGTTCACGCCTCCTTTCAGTGCGCCAACAAGTCGGTCTGTGTGTTTCTCGTGGCGACCTACACCGACGGCCGGCCCACAGAGAACGCCGAGTGGTTCTGTAAGTGGCTGGAGGAGGCATCCACCGACTTCAGATACGGAAAGACGTTCCTCAAAGGCCTCAGATACGCAGTGTTTGGTCTCGGGGACTCCGTCTATAGTGGTCACTACAACATGGTAAGAAAAACATTTTCTGTGTCGAGTTCTATCAGAAAAATGCTGCTCGATAACAAAGAAGGTTTAAAGAATATCTAAAGCTACTGGACTGACAGCTCTAACCATGTAGGAGGAGGCAGACTCCAGGTCAAAGTTCATTTAACACACAGCTCAAATGTCCATCTGTTAGTTTCTGTTTTGAAGGCCATGAATCAGCAGATTTTATTTGTTGAAACTTGATTTTTTCTTCACCAGGTGGGTAAAAACGTGGACAAGTGGCTGTGGATGCTGAGCGGCGTAAGGATCATGACCCGGGTAGAGGGCGACTGTAATGTGGTCAAGAGCCGTAATGGCAGCATCCAGGCCGACTTCCTGGCTTGGAAGATCAAGTTCCTGAGCCGTCTGCAGGCTCTGGCCAAAGGCGAGAAGAAGAGCTGCAGGGGGAACTGTAAGACCGGAGGCTCCTGCAAGAACAAGAAGAAAGAGGAAGAGCAGCAAGAAGAGGAAGAGGAGGAGGAGGAGGAGCTTAACAGATCTAAGGTAGAGGTTCTTTTTGGTTCAGTAGTTTAACTCAGCGGTTGAAAGCTGCATGCATCATTAATGTGTCGTCACTGTTCGTTGGCAGGCTGCTGGAGGTTCTGTTTTTAGTTTCCTCTAACATCCTCCTGATTGTTCACTTCAATAGACACTTTGTTAAACTGAGGACAAAGAACTGAAATGAACAGATTGATTAGTAAGTGTTTGACCTTTTAGTAAAAAGTGGATGAAAACATGCCTTAGGCTTCTGAAATGTAATGTTTTATAATACTCTGTTTCAACAGACAGGGTTTACATGACCTTTACATGACTGTGTGGGAAAAAAAGTCCTTGTGGAGAATCCCCTAAATAAGCATCATGAAAGAAGTGAAGCCTTGTTTAGAGTTGATTCTGCAAATACATGTTCTCCCCTGACCCAGAATCCAAGAGAGAGAAGGTGAACACGATGAGTTCATACAAGAAGGTGAAAGGCTGAGAAAGTGTGCCGCTGATGCTCATTTAGTGAAATGTCCTCGGGCTTATGATGATGTTTATTTTTTTACACATTAAGGACACTCGGGTTATGAAAGCATGCAATGAAGTGGACGTGCTGGAGCTAAACTACCTCCACAATGTGATGAAATTCTGATGAGCCTGAGGAGTGTGACCGTCAGTTGATGAGCTCTGTTTTGAGTAGCATTCATTCTGTGTATTTTCCAGAGTAAGAACCGGGGTTATAAACGTCCTTCAAGGCTTACCGTACATACGATGTGTCATCTCTTGTCAATATGAAAATAGCACTTCTTTAATCACCTGTCACTGAAATGACACATTTCACACACACACACTCTCAGCTTTCATACGCATCACAGCACATACACATCATGACTGGTTGTCATGGTAGCAGGCACCTCAGAGCCAACTCTGTAGCTGAGACTCCGTCCCCCTCTGTCTGCAGCACTCGGTGCACTCAGCAGAGGTGACATTCAGCCGGAACCAACATGCTGCCGATTTATCTGCCCCACAGTACTGCTCGTGTGTTTGAATGCTGCAGCCGGTCATCTGTGCAGAGGCTTCCACACCGAGGACACAAAGTGATACATCCTGTTTAACACCACACGCATGTTTGATGTATTTAATCAGGCAGAGCAAGATGAGACCACAATGGACAATCGATGTGCTCCCTCTCTTAGCTGTAGACAAGCTGTGATTAGTTTTATGTGTCTTTTTAAAATTCTGTGCTCCTCTTCCATGCGACAGGAGGATCTGATGGAGTCGAGCAGTGATGAGGAGTCTGGCGAGCAAAAAGAGAAAAGGTCAGGTTCCGTGGTCGACATGGAGGACCTGGGCAACATCATGAGCAGCGCCAAGAAAGCAAAGGTCAGACTCTGTCCAGCAGCATTCACACAATGTCCCGATGCATACCACCATCATTCAGGAGATCCCATGAAAGAGATGAAGTAGTCAAAATTGACAGATATTCAAAGTATCAACACGGATGAGGTAGATGTACAGAACTCGACTTTCTGCTTCACAGTTTTATCCTTCTGTGGTCGTTGAATCATTTCATATCGGAGCTCTACAGTCATCACCCTGCACGTTTATTTTGAGCGTTTCCGTGTCAAAGGCCTATAAGCGGCCACCGTCAGGGTTTGAAGCTTTCGACACCTTCGTCCCATCAGAGTGTGTAGAGGATGGAGAAGAAAAGTGGTGTCACTGAACGAGGAGAGGCAGATGGGTTGATAGACACCAGACCCCCCGACAGGCGAGAAGCGGGGGCTTGCGTAAGATCGAGGACGCCCACCTCGCAGCCTTGTGAGCGACGAGTCACTCAAGAGGAGCAGAAAAAGAACAGAGACAGAAAAGGAATCATCGGTCTCCTTTAAGGACTGTAGTATAGAATAGATTAGAATAGAATAGAATGACTTTATTGATCCCAAACTGGGAAATTGTGGTGTTACAGCAGCAGGTTATCAGAGCAAATAAAACAATATAATATTAAATTTAAAAAATAAGAATGAGAAGAGATAAATACATCAAGGATTTAACTTAACATTCCTACTAGTTTAAACAAAATGAAAAATGAAATACAACATTTATTCAGGTTTGTCAACTGAATGTAAAAATACTTGCTGGAGGTAAGAGATGTAAGTTTGTAACAGTGATGACAGTGGTAAATATGCAACAACAGTTTTCTGCACCTTTAAGAAAAAGCTAAAGACCCAGCTCTTTCATGAATACCTACTAACTTAATGATGATGGTCTCCATATTATTGATGATGATGATGGTTGTGACGATGGTTTTTGTTTGATAACGACGACTTATAAGATGGTTTCTATACTGATTAGAGCTCTCAAGAACTGCCCTCAATGTTGTGCTTTGCCTCTGGTCACTTCCTGTCAGCACCTGTGTGTCCAATCAGACTCAAAGCTGATCATTTGCTCTTACTGACATTGTTCCCTTTTTTCTAGATCCTTGCTTGTGTTGTTCTTACTCTCTGACGTACGTCGCTTTGGATAAAAGAGTCTGCTAAGTGAATTGTAGGATTGTAGAGTTGTAGATATAGGGGGTTATAGGGGGTTATCCAGAGCTGTGTGTACGGGAAGCAGGCAGGAGAGGCTTGAAAAGGAAGCAGGTGTGTGTACCTGTGTGAGTGGCTGAACAGACTGTGGCTGATCTCTTCTAACAGCAGGATAAAGACGCCTCACTGACTGGTGTTATAACAGGATAAAAACTTTAAGATAGTTTGTTTCTTTTCTCTGAAACATCAGTTTAAAATCTGCAACATACATGCTTTAATGAAGGTGTTTGTCTAGATGATGTATTTCTACTTTTATTAAAATATAAACATATTAAATAATAAGTGGTGACAATCCTCATCTATTCGTCTCTGGTGGATAAAATGAATATCACATTTCTTTGTCACAACTGGCTACTAGACGATGGTGTCTCTGCTGCTGTATGTTGAACTCCTGCCTCAGTGTGAAATGGTCAGAACACAAAGATTGTGTCGTTTTTTTGTGGGTGCACCAAATAAATCTGCTCCTCCATTACACCCCGGCTTTTTATCTTTAGGAAAATGCTCCCGTCAGCCTCACGTTTGCTCTGAAGGAACAGTGAGTAACTTAAGTGATTGCTCAGGGCTAGGTGTGTGACTGCAGCCTCTGTGGATCATACATTTTGTTCTCATGAAAACGTAATGACTTTATTACAAAGTGTTCTGTCGCGCTAGCTGTGCTGAACGTTAGGGGAAGTTTCCCTTTTTCTTACAAAGACACAATGACTGCAGCTCCTGAATGTCCCAGGCCTGTCCTCTCCTTTTGTGACATGAGTATAATAATGTGTGTCAGCTCTGTGGCGTTTGGACAGGCCTGTCGGTAAGCTCTGTGGGGATGTGTGTGTGTGTGGTCTGGGAACCTCACACACCAAACAACTCATGTGGATTTACTGTTAGACAGATTTCCATCAGGCTTCATTGTGGTCAAACTTGGAAAGGAGTGTCAGTGAAAGCATCTGCTGCAAACGCATTCTAATCGATTGTGATTCTGGCTACGATGACTCACATGATCACACTTTGCATTTTTTTGAAACTTTGCATGTTTTTGCATCGTGTGGTCACACAGATGAAGGCAGTGCAAGATGTAATGAGTTAAACATTTACTATCTCCAAGTGACTATTTAGCAAAGCTGCAAATGAAGTGTGAACAAGGTCATTCCCCCTGACTGGAATATCTTAAACAGCTCGTAAAGTGTAGAGCCAGCTCAGGTCTACATGTTTTAGATCTATGCTCTGTGACTCCCTGTAAATTACATGGATGTTATGGGATGTTTTGAGGGGTTTTTTCAGATAAAAAAAAAAAAAAAAAAGGGTTGGAGATTAATTCTGCACCAGTCTTGTTTTTTTTTTTCTCAGTTTGAGATTCCTCTCATTATAAGCCCAGGTGGAACGTCTCTCCGTCTCTGTTGACCACTAGGTGATGACAGAGACTCTCGTTCAGTCAAACTCTAATCTCTGAGTGAACCACCGCTCTGACATTTAACACCACACACTGTCACTTCACTCTCCAGCCTCATTAGCATGAATCCTCAGTGCACATCAGCATGATGGACATTTAACAAGTCAAATTATACAGGCAGCACAAAGAGAAGCTGAATGTTAGCGACTATCTGAGGCCTCATTTAAACACCCTGAAAGAGAAATAACATCGTTCATGTCAAGGTGGTTGACATCAAAACACCAGGCAAACAAAGGTGAGATTACTGTCTTTTACTGCAGATAACAAATGTATTATTTACAATATATCACCACTGGTCTTAGTAAAGTTAGTCTTGTTTTTATCTCTCTTCCATTATGCAACTCTACAACCCCCTGGACTGTAATTGTTGTATGTAATTATACTTGTGCACTAAACATCATCACATTTCCATTCAACAGAACACATTTCTACTTTACCTCTGCTCCTGAAGTCCTGTGGTACCTCTGCATCTCTTTTTATATCTCCTCACTGAACAGACTGTAAAACATATTCCCTGAGAGTTCAACACTAACATAATAATAATAATACATTTTATTTATAAGCGCTTTTCAAAAACTCAAAGACACTGTGTATTTGTTAAAAAAGACAGAAGGATCAGAACAGTATAAACTAACAGACATTGCAGTATAAAGGTAAAGCTATAGATAAACAGAACACACATCACAATCATACATCTCATACAGCTCATTTGAAGGTGAGTCTTGATCAGTGATTTGAATGTAGATGTTCATTCATTCAACCTTTATTTATACTCGAAAGATCATTGAGGGGCAACCCTCATTTACAATGACATCGAGTTATTACAGAAATAATTAGAAAACAGACATTAAATCAAAAAGAAAAACGGGACAGATAATAAGACTGCTAAAATCAGTCTACAAAAGGCTAAAATGTACTAAGATAACGAAGCGAGTACAAAACTGCAATAAATAAACACACTTATGTAAAACAGTTACAAACAGAGGTTGGGAGGCTTAAAATCGGGTTTCTAAAATTCCATTTCCCTCAAGAAGATGCTGTATGTTGTTCTTGTGTCAGTGTAGTGTTGAATGTGTGTGGGGAGGGGGCAGCTATAGAGAAAGATCTGTCCCCCCAGGTTTGGTGTAAGAGGGAGTAGGGCTGGGAAATATGTCACGTTTTTAGGAGAAATCAATGACTTTTCAAACGACTTACAGGGTCTGATACTATCGTTAATATCCATATAGTTGATGTTACATTAAAATAAAGATATATGTGTCTTCTGTAGAGTCGCCTGTTCACCTAATCCTCCTCACACTGTCCATATCACCCAAACCTTCAAGAGAGCTTTCAGCATTCATCTTCAAAATGTCCCTTTTTGTCACCCTTTCTTAACAATATATCTCATGGGATATCTGTAACTTTGTCTATTTTCTAACTAAGCTGTCCAGAGATTCTTTCACTGGTTGTGACGTTTCATGATTTCATACAGTCTCACACATCTGTCTCTCTAGTAGATCTTCATCTTACATTCAATAAATGAAAGTGTCAGCATCTGTCCACTTTGCTCGTTATTCATCTCACATAGACTCGTAAGCTGCCTCATCCAGCCCTAAATGTTGTTTTAGTCTGTGTTGATGCCGATGCAGGTAGACGGCTAGAGGGATCTAAATATGGAGGATGTGTTTGTCTGTGCTGATGTCAGTGATCCTGAAAGCCATGCATGAATGACGATGAGCGGATCACAGCTAAATTTGCTGGTGATACATTTTTTTTCCCACAACTGTTTCCTTCAAATGTACCCCCATGGTTGATTGGCAGGGACATGCTGATTGGCTGCCAGAGTGCAGCATTCACACTACCTATCCATAATCCAAGCCCATCTGTTGCTCTGCTTCTATTTGTGCTCTGACAAGTGAAACTTCATTTTCAGTTTCTGCTAATTGCCCGATATATAGAATATAATTAATATCTTAATATAACAGGATGTTCAGCGGATGTTCTCCTGGGCGGTGAGTGATTCTGCCTGGAGGTCCAGTTCATGCTGTGGGATTGAGGCCAGTAAGGAGGTTGTCTGGGTCTTTCACCTGAGCAGCTACAAAGCTCTTTGAACCGGGTTCAGATGGTTTTAGGTCGGCGTCCAGAAGGAGGGATCAGAGAGGGAGATGCAGGCACCGGGCGTTTGTTCTGCCTCAGATTATAGCCGCTGTATGCCGGGTACAAAATCCTGTTTTTGTTTTTTTAGACCTTTTGTTACTGTTGGAATATAATTTACAAATATTGTAAAATGTGTTGGTGTCTGTGCCAAACAAACATGTTGAAGTACATGATGGTGACCAGGGCATTTCTGCAGCACATCCTGATAATTATGTTTTATTTATTTATCACAGTATTATCTATCACCTTCAGCTACTTGAATTGCAATAATTAAACGATGTGTTGAACCCTTCTTTTTATGAAGTACTGCACGTGACAACTAGAGGAGGTTTTGAAGTTAGGGAACATCAGTGACTTAGAAATACATTATTTAATACAACCGGCCTCTCAATGCCAGCTTATTGAAGTTTAAAACCAAAAAGTGACCGAATCACACTTTTGTAAGCTGCATGTAAAACCAATGATTTACTGCAGACTAGTCGTGCTGTCGAAGAAATAATGGAAAAGAAAACTCAGAGAAAATGATGAAATAATGTCCGTCAATGTCAATACAGTCCTGTTCCTTCTCCCACACGTTGATCAAACGCTCACTCTGTGTTTTATCGCTGCACCAGACCCGCGTCGTGGCTCCAGAGCGATACACGGGGACTTTGACATGTCCCACTTCTATGAGTCCAGACAGGTCCAGGCAGGGTGAAAAGCTGAGCAGCGGGGACCAGCAGAGTCTCTGGCGCTGCACGCTAACACCACAGGGACAGACTGTTGCCCTGTTGGCTCCATGTGCTGTCAGATTGACATGTCAGGGGAGCAGAAAGAAAAGGTTATTCCATTTTGATGTTTTAAAGGAAATACAGCTTGACTCAGAGCTTCCTATAAACGGCTCTAATGTAAACCAGCAACAAGAACAAGATGTGGGAGGATTCTGACACAGCATGATGTCTTACTTCCTCAAAGCATCCCTCGTCACTGGCGCAGCTATTTCTCTGAGGGGCCGCTGCGGCTGTCAATCAAAGGAGTGATATCTTTACTGCTTAATGAGAGGTGCATGCAGCTTAAGGTGCACTAAACAGACCATTCTGATGCATCGCTACAGGAGCTTGGATTTGGTCCAGGTACGAGTACACCATCTTTAGAGATGTCAGGAGAACTAGCTGCGCTCTGAACACATTATGTAATGCTCAGGTGCACAATTCATGAGCTGTGTATTTGCATGCTCATGTAGCAGCATTGTCTTATTTGTTGAGGCTTCTTTGCAGGGTTTGTTGAGACCAGAAGGAGGTTAAAAATGTTTTTCCAGTTGAGTTCAGTCTCTCAGTTGCTTTAATAAAAAGCACATTTGTGTTCTTTGAAAGGCTTACTTTCTTCTGTGCTGCATTTAGCTTCAGCCTCAGTTTTTAGAAACACAGACAGACATTATAAAAACCCAGTACCATTACACTAAAGGCAAAGAGAAAGAATGAAAGAAAGGGGACACTTATCCAAAAGTCCCAACAGTCCAGCTGCAAGTCATCAGCATCTTCTTTTAAAAAGCGTCTACCCTTCTTCAAACTAGATCAAGGGTGAAAAAAAAAGACAAAACATGGTCTGATCAAGTAATGACAGAAAGGGTTTCTAATCCGTTCCATCTAACCAATAGAAAGTGTTTCATCATTTTTAGACCCAGCCATGCCTTCACTGAGAGCCCGTCTGTGGTGCAGAGGAAATGGCCTTGTCCAGTCAGAGCAGCCAAATAGATAGATTTACTTTATTGATCCCAAACTGGGAAATTGTGGTGTTACAGCAGCAGGTTAAATATTGTCCAATCACAGTCTGGCTGACTGTTAGTTCGGCAAACCAGCTGAATAGGACTGGTGTTCACTGGTATCATAGCAGCCGTTACAAAGCGGAGGATCAGATGTTTAGAGTTAAAGAAAGAGGTAAAAAAAAATGTGTCTCTCTGGTCCTTGGATAGTTATTGTCAGAGTATCAGACCTCTGTTGGAAGGAGGACGTGGAGACCCCATAGAAGTGAACCGTTATGATTGGAGCTGTCACTGGACTTGGTTAATCATCTCTCTTAAAAAAAAAAAAAAAAGGAACCTGTTCACATGTACCTTTTTAAAAATTCAACTAAATCCATCTTCTGTTGAATCAGTTTCCAACACGTCTCTAAAGTGTTTACATTTCCATACAAACACTGTTCACTGCAGCTCTGTAATCGTGGCCTGAAGGAAGGAGTTAATCTTCCAAACAAACAGGCTCCAGCAGCGACTATCAGAAAAGACAGCTGCTGTGGTAAGAAGCTCAACAATAGTGTTGTTCTCCTTTAGACCTTTTGTTTCATTTCACAGAGCCTCAGAGGGGCCTTAGACCCGGATTACCCCCGATACTGTTCAAACAGATGATGCCTCTTTTACTCAAACGATGTTCATGTTATGCAATGGTTAACTTGTTATGTCACGCAGTCATTGAAGGACTGCAGAATAACAAGCCTTGATCTTCAGTTCTGTCAAACATCAAACACTTTGGGAGAAGCTCCTCTTGCTTTTAACTAAGTTCCCTGACGTGATGAGCATCGTCATGATCCAGCAGCTAACACACTTTCAAACAGGATATTTAGCTTTTTTTAGATGAAGTTTAAATAAAAAAAGGATGTCTGGTTTATTTGTTTGTTTGTTTGTTTGGATCTCCATTAGCTGAACCCTTGAGCACAGCTAGTCCTCCTGGGGTCCACATAAGGAGGGGTCAATAAAAGCTTCCATGTACACTGCTCTCAGGGGTTCTGTTAAACTCTCACTGAACCCTCTTAGGTTCAGTCCTGCAATCTTTACTTCGTCCCAGATCGTGAATTCAGACACATACATCTCTTTTCTATTTGATTTAGTTAAATTCTTGGTTCAAACATCGCTTTAAAAGTTAAACGTTTACTTTAAGTGAGTCTGAATTCTCTCAACATTAAGTGTACATTATTAAAGTTGTGATTTTATACTTGACGGATGCGAGTCACTGATCCGGATATTTTCATCCATCCCTTAATGGCTTTTTAAAAAAATAACCGACTCTACATCTTGTGTCTGCCACAGAGCAAAGCTGAAGGTGGAGGAGACGGCCCGATGGTGAAGCTCTCCAAGTTAAACGGAGTGAAGAAGGTTGTAGATGAAGAGGAGAGGAGAGAGATGATCACGCCCGCTCTCAGAGACGCACTGACAAAGCAAGGTGAGCTTTGATTTAATGGATAAAATACAACAAATGTGTTATCAATCAATCAATCAAACTTTGTTTATACAGCACCTTTCAGACAAATTCAATTGCAGTTCAAAGTGCTTTACAAGAGTGCAGAAAAGTTTGAGAGACTAATGCACACCAATAACAATAACAAAATATATATAAAAATAAAATATGACACATAAAAGCAATAAGATATTAAAATTAATACATAGGAGAAGAATATTTAAAATTGTAGTAGGATCAAAAAGACAATACAATAATGTTAAGATTTGAATTTATATAAAGCACTATTTAAAAGTGAGACTGAATATGTTATGTGTTATCCATGTTTGCCACAGCTTTGTTGAGGATCTTTATGAATCTCTGACTCGGGTTAAACTGTGCAGCAGTCATTTTCCAAACATCTGCCGGGTGTCACCGCTGACTCTGGGTAATATATTCATATAATGTAGCTGCACTGCTTCGCAATAAAAAAAAAAAAAAATCACATTACAGACCGCGCACAGCTGCTTGTCAGCATATCCTTAACCTTGCTCTTATCACAAGGGCAGCAAATTGTCAGTCAACATAAAACATGAATCATGAGTCCACCTGTTTTGAAAATGAGCTGTGAATCAAACCGACGTACAGAAACTGTCAAGAGAAAATGTTTTCACTGAACTGTTCTCACCCATGATCAAAGTCAACGATAGAGGGGTCTCCTCTCAAACTCCAATGATTTTACAAACCTAAATATGTTTGTAAGTATCCCGTCCCTGGACGTCGATGACTTTATCGTTTGAGGCAGGAAGAAGTCAGACACATCGGAGCTGTTTGTTTGACCATCTTCAAGTTAATGAGCTGCTCAAACTGCATCCTGTGTTCCTGACGTTTTTCTAATATCCTGACAGAGAAATTGGTTGGGCGAAGCTGGCCAGAGGTGCTTCTCGAGGAGAAGTGTGGAGCAGGGGAATTCTTGTTGTCTAATGGCTCCTAATGATGCATTGCAGTCCAATTAGCCTCTCTGCCTCCTCCTGTCCTCAGGGTGCAATCCCCAGAGTCTCACTTCTCGCTCTCTCTCTCCTCCCACACCAAGAAACATCAACAAAACGGATCCCAGCTGGTGTGGAAGGGGAGTTCTAGTTATTCAACTTAACTTACATAAAAAGCATGTTAGTCTGCTTTTGAGGATCAGACATTAACTCACTGTAACGTCACTTGTTACCAGTGTACCCCTGATACACATTAAGAATAGTGCGTCCTGTTATTGGATTGGATTTGTGGGAATGTTGCCTGATGTGGAATCTGAAGTTGGACTAAATGCTTAACAATGATTATAGCTCAATATTGATGAAATTACAACCTCTGTTCTGATAAGTGGAGCTACTTTTTGTGCATCCATGTTTTCTCTCTGTCAGTGTTTGTTTTTGATAAAGCCCCCTGGTGTTAGTTTCAGTCCATTACCTAAATGGACAGCCATTTTCATGCAGAGACGTCCATTGTTAGTCTACACAGTACTTTATAAAATGAGAGCAAAACATCACTGGAATCACCCGACTGTTGACCGGTCTCATGGCTAGAGTCTCTCTCAGAGGATAGCTCCTCGTATTAGTCATAAAAGAATAATGATGTTTTCATGACACTGAGTCTTTGAAGGTTGTGTTCTGTATCCTCCGCTTCTGGCATGTCATGGATGTAAAAGTCACACATGTGAAGAGACTGTAGTTTCATGTCAAAGACTATTTGAACAGTTCTTCAGGATGCCTTCGTCCTGAGGCACGTCCCTCTTCTATGAGTCCAGACAGGTCCAGGCAGCGGGGACCAGCAGAGTCTCTGGCGCTGCACGCTGAACACCACAGGGACAGACTGTTGCCCTGTTGGCTCCATGTGGTGGCCTCTGCTGTCAGATTGACACGTTGGACTCACCTGTTTGTACCTGAATCTGTTTCTTTCAAAATGTGCACAAAGAGTTAACGGAGTGGGCGCACAAACTGCACATCCATTTCGAAACGCAGTTTGAACGTGTTTGGTTTCATTAATCTCGTCAAATTTAATTAAAAATAAAAGCTGTATTTTCTCATGTCCCGTAAGATCCCGATAAAGAAGCTGAAGGCTGTTCAAAATAAATTAGGCTGATTTTTCCACTCTTTAATTAAACACATCGCCCCCCTCCTCCGCCAGCTCATTTGAATTCCCTCAGGCGGCTCTGAGTGAGTGAACGGTCACAGATCAAAGAACCAATTGTTTTTAGAATCTGAAATAATGTCATACCCAAATCTCTTGGACACTCCTGTTTTTATGCTGTAAAGATAACCCCAACCCCCCCGCAGGCTGCTCCTACATGACTAGTGGGAGAAGTCGTTGAATTGTTTTCCTTTATGGAGAGAAGTGATGTGCAACTCAACGAGGAGGCAGAGTTCTCCTTACCACCGAGCGCTGCACACAAACTTATTTCTACCTGACCTCGCTTGACCTCTCAGAGAGTAACAAGAAGAATGTCAAAGACAAATGTTGACTGTCTATAGTTCGGCCTGGATTCTGAAATAGATATGTAAACGTCAGAGGGTCACACCAGTTCACACCAGTCGTTTAAAGTGGGAAAAAGCGAATGGGATATGGCCGCTTGTTACCCGTGTTTTTTCTATTTTTCATTTGCCAAAATCGGATTTTAGAAAACGAGTCGTTTTTGTTTGTGTTTTGGAAACGACTATTGAAAAAAAGTGCACGGTTTTCTGTTTGTTTTTCCATTTTGGTTTCATATTGATGAATGAATACAGATTTATCAGTTCTCTTTGTCATTTTCTCTTTGTCTCATGCATCGGTATGTTGCACATCAAAGGACATTTATTCATAGCAATAACTGGCTCTTTATGCTGATATAGTTTCTCCGTGATTACAGAGAAGAGGGAAACGTTCTTCTCTCCGCCCACCTCCCCCTCACTCTCCTCTGACACTTGAAAGGACACGGAGGCATTGGAAATCGATCTCCCAAACAAACACTGGAGGGCTTACATTAAGATCATTAATAGTTATATAACGTCCCAGCAGCAGGACCTGTGGTCTCCACAGTCAAGTTAGCCTGGGGTCATACATCCTGATGTGTTCATGTTGTTGCTAGGAGCGAGGTGAGAGCAGGACGTGTCTGCTCTGCAGGCATTTTCATGTGGAAAATGGATTTGTAGCTGGACGGCGTGCTTTCTGCCCCCATCGAGAAAAAGCAAACATTATGTTGTTTGAGCAAAACATAAATTGAATTCTGTGCATGTTCTCCTTTTGTTTGTTGGTGCATTTGTTGCTGGAGTTTTTTCAGAAAGGAGAATTTTCCACATTCAGTCTTTTCTACCAATATTTTCTAAACAGCTTTACGTGATAATATTTGTGTTTGACTCATCTTGCATCAAACGTCTGATGGATGGATCAGCTCAAACACAACCCGATCTCTCCTCGGCTTTTAATAAGATGTTTTAGCTGCGAGGATTTAAAAGAAAAACACAATTAAGACTTGAAAATAGAAAAGGAGCCACCTCAAGACAAAAACAGGCAGACACTGAAAGATTAACTAGATTATCTATAAAACTCCTGGACTAGAATATATACAACCGAGCCCCTTTTTGATTCCCAATAACAACTTTATTCATACAGCACTTTTCAGAAACAAGTTACAAAGTGTTTCCAATCAAAACAAGACAAAATAATCAAATCAAATACACAAACCAGAAAATAATACAACAAATAAGAAAAGCAAATAAACAGGTCAATAAAACCCAAACCTGGATTAAACATATACATGTAAATTATGTCAATAAAAAGCTGGTGAAGAAGAACATGAAAACACAGTCGGTTAAGAAAAAGCCCACCGGTAGAAATGAGTCTCTAGAAGTGATTTAAAGTAGGACACTGTGTTTACTGAGTTTCACAGCTGTGGGGCTCCAACTGAAAAAGGCTTGGTCACCTTTTGGGACCGGTCGGGTTTTAGGAACCGCTAATAGCGCCCTGCTGGAGGATCTCATGCAGATCAGGCTCATAGGACGTTAGACAATCACAGATATCGGCCGGGCCTGAGCATTTCAGGTTTTAGAAACAATAAGATCTTAAAATCAATTCTGAATCTCACATGTGAAAGGAAGCAAGGAAAGGTGATATTCAGTCACTTCTCCTGGTATGTGTTAAAGGCCTGGCTTTGTATTTTACACTTACTAATGCCAGAAGAAAAGTTCATTACATTAGTGGAGTCTGGAAGAAATAAAAGCATGGATGACGGATGAAGTCGGCAGGAGAAAGGAATGACCTGAGAAGAAGTGATCCCAACATCATTTTCTGTAGTAGATGAAGTGATACAGATAAAAAACGCACTTTGATAGAGTCTACAAGAGAGGAGGTGTTTAAAAAAGAGACTTGCCAGGACTCAACCAAGAAGCCAAGAAGTATTCAGCCGTAATATCAGAGGTTCGTGAGGCAGGCTTGTTAAGAAAGACAATTTGAAACACTTACTCCTTCTTTTGAGCTGAAGGGGGATCTGAAATGTGTCCTGCCTCCCCTCCTCCTCGCTGTGGACCTGCCCATCAGCACCCACTGGTCACTTTTAGGAGATGTGAAGTCGCCTAGCAAAGGATGTGAACGCTGAGCAGGGCTACGTTGATGTAATACTCACAGAAAATGAAAAGTTATCTGCTGTGGAGTGTTGGGTCAAAGACGTGTTGTTCTCTCTCTCTCTGTGCAGGGTACAAACTCATCGGAAGTCACTCAGGAGTGAAACTCTGTCGATGGACCAAGGTAATAGAATTTACTCCTCTCAGTATACAGGCTCAGACTTTTGACAAAGCGAGTGCATGAATCATATTAAAGACGTGGTTTCTGCTCGTCAGTCTATGCTGCGAGGGAGAGGAGGCTGCTACAAACACACTTTCTATGGTATCGAGTCTCATCGCTGCATGGAGACCACCCCCAGCCTCGCCTGTGCTAACAAGTGTGTCTTCTGTTGGAGGTAGGTACCTGAAGAATACATCAAGTTAAGTAAAAATAGACTTTTGACAGCGTCCAATATAAATTATGTCAGTCTGATGATAGATTTAAAAATGTTTCCATTTCACAAAGCTCATCTGATATTTCTGTGCTCCTTCCCAACTCCCTTAATATCAGGTCAGGGATAGTGACAACACTAATGAGAAATCAGGGAATATTAGGTTATACAGACATTAGGGCTGGAAATATATTGAGTTTTTAAGATATGTCGATATATTTTCAAACAAGATATAGGGTAAAACAATATCGTTAATATCGATATAGTTTATGTGGCATTAAAATGACGTTACAGAGGTGCCAGGTTTTTTTGGCTGGTTTATTTTTCCATGTGTTTTCACTGTTAATAAAAAAACATATCGATATATATCGAGTATCTTCATTCAGCTAATCAATATCAAGATATGAGTTTTGGTCCATATCGCCCGGCCCTAACAGACATTAACACGTTGGCTTGAAATGTGATTTAAAATAACTTTTAAGTCCTTTGAGGGCGGACCAGAGGCGTCCCCATCCTTCTGTCTGTTGCTTCCAATGATTTCCATTTGACTTCCTTCCTTCACTTGTTTTATAAACAGTTAAATGATTGAAGGTGAGCTGTTGTCACATCGTCTTAGTTGTTTAAGATAGAGGGTGTTTTTTAAACTCTGAAATATGGCTTCTTGAAACATGAAAGGCAGCTAACGTTTGAAGAGCAGCATGCAGGAATGTCTGCATGCTCAGTCTTCTTCTTGTCTAAACCTAAATGACGTACCGTGTTATAAGAACACTTCCTGTCATCAAGTCATGATTAACAAGCAGAAGACTGATGGCAGGAGAAGTACGAGCCTTGCCCCCCCCCCCCCCAAAGTTCCCTTTAAAAAGTCGACTGTGTTGAACACTGAAAGGTCAGATTGTGCTGCTGTGAACTGCTTCCCTGTCGTCACAGATTAAGCCCGTCTCTCTTAAAAAGCAGCCATGTGGGCTGACAGGCGGTATGAGATCTTCAGGGCACGGATGTAAATTTGAGTCCGCCGTGTCCATCCATCTGTTTGAAGCAACAGGTGGATTTTCAAACTGATGTGCACATGTGTATTTGTAGCGTGCATATGTATGCGATAGACTGTGTGCATTTAGCTGTGCCTGAGGATTTGTCATTGCACCCTGCAGTCACACTTAAGACTCTCAGATGGTGTCATCTACACCTAAAGGAGGTGTGATCTTTATAGTACGATGTGTTCTTTCTCTGTGGGTTTTTCATAGGATGACAACAGCCCTCGTAAATCTGTGAATTACGGCTGTGCAATATGATCATTTTTATCTATTTATATGGTTTTATTTATTGCTTGTTTTCAAAATGTGACTTTATGTGAAACACAAAAGTGAAATGTTGTAAAATCAATCATGTGTTTAATAATGATGATTATGATTTTTCCTTAACGGAGCAGCTCTTCAGTGAATTCATAGTCTGAGTCTTCATATTTGTCACCTTGTTAGAAAGATACCTTCCTGACTCTCGGTGATGTGTTCAACATTGCTATTTGAGTGAAATGACTTCTGACACAAGTCTTAATCTATCTCCATCAGAATGAAACAGCGGTACAGGCTGACAGTTATAGGAAGTGCTCAGGGAGGCAGAGAACAAGTGAAGGTAGCTTTTTCCTAACAGACGTGTTCAAGCCGTTTATCTGCCACACTAACAGACATCACACCAACCCTGTGGGCACCGAGTGGCGCTGGAAGATGGACCCTGCTGAGACCATCCTACAGGACGCAGTGGACAAACACCAGAACATGATTCGACAGTTCAGAGGTTGGTCACACATGCAGACACGAGTTTCCTTTGTTTCTCCATCAGTCTGTTTGGCATACGAGTGAATCCTCCCTGAAGAAAATCAACACAGACACAGACACAGCACACTGCACACTGCACACTCTGTCTCCTTACTAGTTTCAATTTACTGCTTCTAACCTCTTATGAGCCCCATGTGCAATGAAGCATTGAATATCAAAACCAAATGTTATGTCTGCTAATTGTCACACTCTCTCTATGCTACCTCATAAATCATTTCTCAAAACACAGACTCACACACACACACACACTCACACACACACACTCAGTTTCCCGATCTGACAGCTCCTTTGTGTCGCACTTGTCGCAACTTCACTCGTATTTTCTCCAAACAAGTCAATATTTGAGTCATAAACTCACTTAGGGATCGACGACTGAATTGGATTTAAACTATGTAAAAGTTTTTTAATATAAATGCATCACTAAGCCTTTGTTTGGGCTGAGGCAGAAAAGGCTCCATTTATAGATCCTGCACTACCACCACTGTTGGAATGAGGGACTTTTTTTTTTTTTTTTTTTGTCTGGCTGCAGTCAGCGTTGCCTGAGGATTGCTTTTTAGAGGGCCAGAGCTTAAACAGTCCAAACAGAACTAGCTGATCATCCTTTGAGTATTAGCTGAGCAGACTTTCTTTGAAATGTTGTAAAACATGGAAGTGACATATTATCAGACATCCATAGAAGGAAACCAGTCTGGATAAGAGAGAAGTTTGTAATCCAGATAGTTTACTTCACTCCAGTTTATAAAGTCGGTAATAAATGAATCTGTTATCGAGGTTTGCAATGATTGACAAACAGTTCTAAAGACAAATACATTCAAGCGTCTTTAATCTTTAAAGAGGACATATTATCCCCCTTTCCCACCTTTTCAAACAGTCCCCCTGTGGTGTAAATGAAACATCTGTGCTGTGTTTTGGTCAAAATATAACATGAATCAAGCAGCAGAGGAGGTTTGTGACCCTGTATAAACCAGCTCTCTCAGAACGCTCCGTTTTGGTGTGTGTGTCTCTTTAAATTCAATGAGTTCCCCTGAGTTTTCCCCGTAGACATCACTCCTCTGTAGCGAGAATAAAAATGGCCAACCTGCCCAAAAGTTTTGTTCTTGGCTGGGGGTGGAGTCCATGGGTGGGGATGCCAGGGGAGGGGAGGGTAATTCTTATACCAGAATCCCACTGTGACATCACAAGGAGAGCAATTGTTAAATGGAGCATTTTTCTCTGTGTTGTAAGACTTATGCAGACCACAAACAAAGGACTGGATGGGTTTATTTCACATGTTGTGGGTCAGTAGACTCTCAGGTTACCCAAATATATGTTCAAAAACACAGTCAAAGTTTTTTTTTTCTTCATAATATGTCCCCTTTAATATAAAAACAGCTGATACTCAGACTTGACAACCAGTTACATGCAGACGTCAAGTTTCTTTGCCTTGAATTTCATCAATCTTCAGTTGACTGATCATTTCGGCACAGGATGGTTTGTTTTTAAAACTGATTGTTTTCAAGCATTTTGTCTTTTAGTTGTGACCTGTAGAAAAGGTCACTGATGTTTTATCACCATATTTTAAAGGTGAGAAAATAACAACCACACAAAGACGGCATCGATACAGTTCTCTTTGTCGTACGTGTTGTATCCTTCACTCCAGACTCACCTTGGTGACATCTCGCCCTTCACTGTTCTTATTTTGTTCATTATTTCCCAGATAGACTGCGAGGTTAACTTTTGGTTTCTGTAGCATGACTGTGGCTGTGCAACCCGTTGGACTGATTTAGCCTGCAGAGCCCCGATGGCACAAACAAACACTCAAACACACCTGAAGCTCTTCCCCCTCAAACTCAACCTCTGTTTGCCAAACTGTCCCTTAAACAGACACCAACATCAACTCCTTCTGTCGGGATCTTTGGCTGTGGCCTGTGTTCAAATGATCAACTGTAATGCACCCTCTTATACATATTCAAATACACAACATCTCTCTTACACTGATAACACTCAGAGATGACTTTTTTTTACCAGTCAGAGTGCTCTGAAGTGTCGGCTTGATCCGGAGACCTTCCAGTTAAAAGGCTTCCTCTCTAACCTCAAAGCTACTGCTGTTCCCATTATAAAACAGAGAAGCAATAACACTCAGGAAATTATAGAGATGCCAAATGCTAAAAGCTTTGGAGACATATCCTCTTCAAAGGGCTGCTTTATAGCTAATATCCTTCTCAGAGCAGTCATTCATGATGTATTTTAATGCATGTCATCATGGCAATGTCATTTCCTGATGTGATTAAAATGGAACAAAAGCACACATAAGCTTGTGTTGACACTAAGCTGCTTCTTTGTTCACTTACTAAAGGGTAAAACAATGTACGCTTGTTACAAAAATGGATTATAGTTGTGATATTTAGTGCAGAAAATAAAGACTATTTCATTTTCAGATGCTTCAACAAAGCCAAACTTTGCAATTCTAATTCGAAACATAATAGAGCAAAGTGCAGGCCCACATTGTCATCCATAATTCTCTTTCCAGTCCCACTGTTAAATCACATCAGGCAGCCTTCAACTCCATTTACAGTTGACAGTGACACATTTATAATGTCTGGCATGATGAAGCAGCCAGACAATGCCTCTTTAAATCCACTGTGTGATTCAACAGGTCCCTTTCTGGTCTCACTTCTTGGATGATCTCCTGCCTAAAAGGTCTCAGAGAAAAGAAGTTTAAACATCTTCCAGCAGTTTATAATGACAAATCATTAGTCATCCTTTACATGTGAATACATGGTTATGAAATATATGGGTTTTTTTTAGCCTTCCTTCTCTTATAAGTGACTTTGTGGAGACTGAAGGAACAGAAAGAGGAATCACAACATGAGGATCAAGCTCAGGGTCAATCAAATGAAGGGATGCTTTTGTCAGATAATAAAGTTCTTGTTTACGTTGCACTTTAAGGGGTTATGATTGTCCTGCATGAGTTAATGCAGTTTGCTAAAATCCCCATGAGATCTGATCTGACTCTACATTTACATGTCAAGAAGTAAATTGTTAATGTTCTTATTGTTGCTGCTAAGTCACTGCATGAATAAAATATCATGTTCTGTGATTCTTTTAGCCACGACAGCGCAGGATTTTAAATTTTTGAAAAAGGACTCAGCTCAATCATGCATACTGTATTTCTACTCTGCACATTTACCTTCAGTATGTCCTCGTTTTATTCCCTTGAATCAATTCTGAAGCTTATAATTCAGCATCCATCATTACAAGCTTGGATTAGAGCTCCGAGTCCGAGATGACACTCTGAGAGATCCTCTTCAGACAGAGACGGTCCATCCCTCAGAGGATCTCAGAGGGAGGAGAGGATGTCAGCTCTCCGTTACTTACCCCCTACGATATGTGTGCTTTTAATGAGGTTTCACACACTTGACTTAACACACAGGCAGCGTCCTCCTCAGACCGTAGTTAGGAACAGAGTTAAGTGGTATTTCTCCTCGGGGACATTTTGGTCGTCTGCTGTGTTTGCAGCCGCTTTGAGAGATGTAACGTGTCCTTGAAAGGTAACACAGTATCCATCGCTTGAGTTAGAAAATGTTGCTAATGTATCGATGGTTCATAGAAAGTTTTAAACGGCATCTGAAGGCAGCAGTCCAACATTTGCTTTGCTTAACATTCACTGCACGTACTCTTAAATTAAATGGCATCTGCTGGAGCTATAGCAGTATTACATTAAATCCCCATGACAGTGTCTGAACCCCCCCCCCCCCCCCAAGCTTTTTTTATTTGTTTACTTGCTGCCTCCATCACAGTCTTGGCTTGTCGTTCAGCGTTTAATACTTTAGTCTGTCAGCAGGATGCAGGCTTACATGATGCTGCTACTATTAAGTTCCCTTACCTTCAAATCCCCGACTGACAAATCCACAAAGATACACCTTCAAATCACAGATGGTAATATCTACATATTCAAATAAACACTTGCACCACATCTCCCAGTCCTTTCCAGTGCCGTGTCTCTGCTGGGTTATTAACCCTCTCACTAAATTATGAAGCCAATGGCCGTGATCTAAATGTGTCCTCAGTGGGATAGTCATTAACTATAACTAATGGAAATTGAGACTTTATTTCTCATATTAAAGTCATTTCATCAGGTGAGGTAATCAAGCCGATTAACGGCGACATTTAATGCCCATGGCAGAGATTTGTCCTGTGTTTAATGCTCCAGTTAAACTTTTAATCTGAATTAGATGTTGCCTTATATTTGATTTAGTCATCTTAAAGTTTTATAGCAACAGCCAATAAAGTTTTTACAACATTTCCTCCTCATTTTCTCCCTAAGCTGAGCATATCTTTACAGACCCTTTGGTCTCTGCCGGTGGATTCACAGAGATTTAGTCCAAGGGGGAAAAAAGAGAGAGAGGGTGGAAGAGAGACTGGGCTCTGTGCCCGACTCCCTGAGCTGAAACTTTTAACTCCACTCTCCTCTCCTCTCCTCTCCTCTCCTCTCTTCTCCTCTCCTCTCTTCTCCTCTCTCTCTCTCTCTCCTCTCACTCTCTCTCCTCTCCTCTCCTCTCCTCTCTACTCTACTCTCCCTCCTCTCCTCCCGTCTTCTCTTCTCTCCTCTTCTTTTCTTTCCTCTCCTCTCTCCTCTCTCCTCTCTCTCTCTACTCTCTCTCTTCTACTCTCTCTCCTCTCTCTCTCTCCTCTCTCCTCTCTCTCTCCTCCTCTCCTCCCGTCTTCTCTTCTCTCCTCTTCTTTTCTTTCCTCTCCTCTCTCCTCTCTCCTCTCTCCTCTACTCTACTCTCTCTCTCCTCTCTTCTCTCCTCTCTTCTCTTCTCTCCTCTCTCCTCTCTCCTCTCTCCTCTCTCCTCTCCTCTACTCTCTCTCTCTCTCTCCTCCCTCTCTCTCTCCTCTCTCTCTCCTCTCCTCTCTCCTCTTCTCTCCTCTCCTCTCTCTCCTCCTCTCTCTCTCTCTCTCCTCTCCTCTCTCCTC